AATGGGCCGGTGTTGGTACAGTAACTGCCTCTTTTAAGCTAAGAAAGAATTCCTGCCTACTGAAACAGTCTGCCATTAGCTGGAACTGACAGAGGTGCTTTTTAAGTGGAAACTGTTTGTTTTCCTCATATTTCTTGGTATTAATACAGGGCTTCCACTGGAATGTCAGTCTAAGTAACAGGACTTAGACAGAGGACTTATACAGTACTTAGGAGACAGTTGGACTAGATGATCTTATAGGTCGTTTCCAACCTTGTGATTCTATGATTCTATGATACTGCACTGAGAATCACCAGAAAGCAGCAGCAATCCAGTGTGGAACAGCAGAAGACAGATTGAATGCATTCATTGGGCAGCATGCCATGTTGGATCATGGAAACCTCACCAGAGAAGTCAGAATGGTGCTTCTCTGGGAATCCTCTGTTGGTAAGGAGGTGGAGCTGGAAGTCTTTTTTCCTTTGCACTTCATTGCTAGAAACCAGAAATCCAGCCTCCACCAGATCTTTCTGTAGTGCAGGCAAAATGTACCTGTTTCCATATGTGCAGGTGCATCAGCATTTTCATTACTTATGCAGAAAGAAGCAACTGCAGGCATATCTGTAAAACTTCACTCTAAGTTTAGCATGTAACTTCACAGTATTAACAGTCAAAATTCACGTTGACATGTATTTCACTAGTTATGGCAGTAGATTTGTTTTGTAACCTTTCTCCTGGTGCTTACAGGGTTAGCATAAAGGAATCCTCTGTAGCCAAATTAGGATCTGTGTGCCGAAGGATTTACAGAATATTTTCACATGCTTATTTTCATCATCGGCAGATATTTGATGAATATGAAGTAAGTAGTTCAATAGTTCAGTTATTGCTGAAATTACAGCTGGGATAACTGTATTGCCTTCTTTTAACACTTACAGAAGATCTGCATTGATGTGAAGTATTCATTACAGTAGATAATGCTTCTGTAAGAACTGAAATTCCATGCTGTGATTTAAGTCTCAGGGCTAAATTACACACAGGAAAGTGTGTGTGTTTATTATGAAAAGTTTATCTGTTATTATGAAAAGTTCATCTGTTTAGTTAACATATCCAATTGGTTACCCTTCCCTTTCCTTGGTTTTATTCAAGCAAATACTAATTCATCATCTTACTTTCAAGATTCCCAAATGTATTCCAAAGGCTTACAGAAATATTTATTTCCTGATGGCATGTGTTATGCAGGCAGTTAAAGGATTATAATTATGAAACTGCATAAAAGCAGATCAACGAGTGGCACTTCCACAGGTTTGGGGTTTTTTTTAACCAGGACATAGAAATTAATGATGAAAAATTAATGATAAAAAAAAGATGAGGAGAGAGCTGCAGGCAGAATGAAATGTTTGCCAACCACTTCAAGTTGCTGGCACAGCTGTGGAATGGCTGTGTTCCATTTTGGTGGGGATGGTGTATGTAGCAGGAGTTTAATACCTTAAAGTCCTTTTCTGGAGAGCAGAGCAGAATTGTGGTGATATTTTAATACATTCTTCCTTACGTACTGTTAAACTGAGGTATGACTTGAGCAATGAACCAAAACCCCAACTGAAGGTTCAAGCTTATGATCGAGTAGTAAAGGGGCTGTGTTAAAAGTAGTAGTATAAATCTATCATTTAAGCACTGCTCCTTGTTTCTAAGACTCCTAAATCCATTACATAATTACATAAAAGCAGTTTAATTGTACTTTCCTCGATTGTTTATAATATTCCTTCTCTATATGTATTTTTTCCCCTTTTTTCATCTCCAGAATGAAACTTTCTTGTGTCACCGGTTCACTAAATTTGTGATGAAGTATAATCTGATGTCCAAGGATAACCTGATTGTACCAATTTTGGAAGAAGAAGTGCAAAATTCAGTGTCAGGGGAGAGTGAGGCATGATGGGGATGACTGTACTGAAGCCTGTACTGAATACAGACAAAAAAATTACGTACTGTATATATCATTTTAGACACTTCAATCATGTATCCTTATAGCTTTGTTTAGTATACTTTTTGTATGCTGTGTGCATTGCCTTTTAATATGGGAAATACCTTAAGTTATTCATGAGCTGTATATTCATCAACGTGGCACTCATGGTTTTTAAATAAAAGTAGTAGTATCTGTTTATAATGCCTGTTAATAAAAGAATTTACAGTTCTCTAAAATTGCTGCTAAACAATCATTGAATCACAATCCTGAAGAGGACAGATTGGGTGGGGAAAAAGCAAGATTAAGATTACACAGCAAGCCATTTTGTAATACAGTCGCTAGGTTAGTTCAAAGATTTTCACCTTAAATGTAGAATTGTGCAGGAAGCTCTTTGCAATGTAGCTTATTCCTAATTTAGCTTTTATTTTTTTAAGATGGCTTTGAAGATTTACTTCTGGTTGTGCATATTCCTGTATGTTTCTATCCAAACACTAAGAGCATTTATAGTATTAGTAATACCAAAAGGATAATTTTACTATGATATTTAACAGATATATTATTGACATGTGTCTAACTTTCTTTTTCAGCCTGTTCTTTTCTTCTGTTATCAGTGGAGGCCTGTGTGCAGCAGGTTTCTGTCCTGCTAAAGCAGGCTTCTGCTGTTCTCCACTCCACAATTTCTTTAAGAGTAACTGTGGCAAAAACAACACAAACTCAATGGCTTACACCTGTTTATGGCAATGGCTTACAGATTATACCTCACAGAAATATTCTCATTATGCCATATAACCCACTAGCATAGTCTTTACTTGTATTGTCAGAAAAGAACACTCAAGTACTTGAAAAATTGAGCCTGACTCTAAGAGTTCATCATATTTCCAGTATACGTTGATTTTTCTTTGTTCACCTGGGTTACATTGGCAGAAAGATTTGGGCTAATGCTTCTGTTCCCTTGTAGACGTTTGTTTCAATTTGTGTTTGCAGCTTTGCAATAACTGACAATTTCCATGAGTGCTGCTTAACTGTGTTTTGTCTAGAATGATAGAACTAAATATTTTAGAGATGAATATAGCAGACAGATATACTGCTACGTGGGCATGAATGCAGGGTATAAAAGCACTAGTGGTGTTCTTATGTTAAATGAATTTTGCTTGTTTGAAGAGGTAGCCAGTCATTTCTCTTGGAAGTTGTTGGGGGCTCTGTTATTTCTTTATGCAGGTCACAATGGGCTAACTAAGCTAGTTTCTGTAAACTGTACTTGATTTTCTAAGTTATGCTTACCTGGAAGGAAGGGAGTTAACCTATTTAGTACTTTTTTTTTCCTCCATAATATACTAAACATGCCTTAAATTCTATTTTTCTTTACACAAATCAAGCACACCTCAAGCAACTGTACCACCTGGATGTAAAGGGAATTTTAACTATAAGATAATAAAGAGATTAAGCTTATGAACTACTTCAGCAACTGCTTTCTTCAGCAGCTCTTTTGTCTCACGTTTATAGCTGTATTTAACCATCAGCAGGGCTACTGCATGAGATGTTGTATGAGTGAACGTAGCTGCCTATACAGTTAATTCTAACTTGCCTTTATAGACCAAATAGGTATCTTAAGTTTGTATTAGAGGCAGGAAGACAACTGTATTTTGGAGATGGTGAAATGCATTTAGTTTTGGTACGGTTTGCTGCAGGACCATTCACGGTGTGGTTCTTCCGTGCAGTCACTCCCCATGCTTATATTGTCCCGGTGACTGACAGAGGCCAAAACATGTAACTTGTGTTACTGATTCCATTTCCTCGACACAATTGAAGAAAATGTGGTGCTCAGGACTGCATTAAAGTTTTGAACCTCTTTTCATCCTCTTAACGCTTTAAGGGTCTCACTTCAGAACAAAACTCTGGAAGTTTTAATCCTGTCGATTCTCCTTCAGATTTGCACTGTAAATTGACTTGCTCTCTTTAGCTGATTTTATATACGGCTTAAGTGAAACACTGCTTGTATTTTCCCTTGCTGCTGTTTACATGAGTACTGTGTACACACACGTGCCTGAATGGTACCATGAAACTTAACTCCGCCTAAGGAAATCATCCGTTTGTCTAGCTAAATACATTAACAGATTTAATTTACCCTCTCCGTAATAGGGAAATGGAAGACTGTCTTTGAAATATGTTGTAAACAAACCAACGGTTAAAATTAAACTGTTACTTTATCCATACCGCTGCGTTTTAGTAAGTGATCCTCATTTCTCATGTTGTCCAAGAACGCAGGCAACCGGGTGCTTCCAAGGCAAAGTTCAGTGCTCGCCCATCTTTGCTACCAGGGGTGCTGAACTTGTATTTCTTCTTCCCAAAGTAGATAAATACAATACTCACAAGCATCTAGAAGCTGGACTTCAAACGTATTCATCTCTCAGTTCAGAAAATGCTGGTTCTACAGTTTAAAAGTCAATGAGATTTAGAAAGGACCTTTCAAATACCCAAATAAGCACAACGTTACACGTAGCCCATCACTGATGGAACAGCCTACCACAAGCAGAGGCTTTCACAAGAGGCTTTCTCTTTGTCACTCAGGTTTTCCCCAGTGCTTGTCTTAATGTGTGTTGGATCAGGTCAGCCCCAGCGATTGCACTGCTGAAGTTTTAGATGTTGTCCAAGTTTTTGCTTAAACAGATAAAAACACAGCAGCAGACCCATTTCTGTAAGCAACGCTGTCTGAAGTTATGCTTTCCTGCAGATTTTTCATCACTAATTCATACCTTTCATCTCAGTTCTCACACAGAAAACAGGCTTGGTAAAAAATCTTAATCTCAGAAATAGCACCTCTCATCCACGATCTAACCCTTAGGGAATTGTCTTAACAGCAACCTGAACTTTTCTTTTTTTAAGCTTCCAGATTAATAGCCTAAGTAGAAAGAAAGCTAATTAGGTTCTAACAGGTGATTAAAATTCTACAAACAAGAACCAGCAACAATAACTGAAGGAAGGTATACACTGAACTAATGGATTTAATGCCAATGTGAGACAAACATAATTAAGACATCAATAGCTGATTTGGTAAGTGCTTTTAATGGTGAGAAGCTTCCTCTCAGATATATAAAAAGGAATTTAACATTACACAAAAAGCACTGCATTTTATAGAACAGAAACAGGAGTTAAGCAGCAGTTTATTGAGGTATGTAAAAAAAAATTGTTGGGATAAGTATGAGCAGGGCACAGCACTTTTGTTTTTAACAGACTATTTCTCCTGGTTTGCAAACACTTTTAAAAGCATTTCCTATCCAAACAGTTTAAGACTTGAACTACAGTCTTTTGCAGTGCTTTAGGAAGAGCATTAATGGCTTTCCATCTCCGTGTTTTCTAACAGCTCTAGGGCATTTGTGTTGCCACATACAGGTGAGGGACTCTACTAAACACACAGTTGAAGCCACACTGGAGAACAAATTTGTGGGTTTTTTTGTTGTTGGAGAATGCATTTGTGCTTTGATTCAATAAAAAGGCCTAAGATAATGAAATACATAAAAGACATTCTTGTAAAATGAAGACTGAGCAGTGTACATAAGTGTATGTAAAGAATTTTAATAACAGGAGCATTCAAAGAAAACTTACCAGTCTTACCCTCCCTCACAGCTCTTCTGCTTTACAAACTTTGAATTAAAAGAAAAAAGGTGCTAGCAATGTACAACATTAAGAATGGCACACCTCAATGCTCTAATTTGTGTAAGAGCATAACAAAACACGTAGCTTCAATTAGAATCCCCTCTACAGAAAATGTACCCCCTCCTTTTCACTTCTTCAAATGAGATGGAAAATCTCTTTGTTATTAAAAGTTCTGAAAGCTGTCTTTTGTTTTAGAAGCATTTTCAGATATTTCAGCATTCGTGCCCCAACCCAACCCAAGGTGGGTTAATTCTGTGTTCTTCAGATAGTGCATGAAGGCAGGTCATTCACATGCAGCCTTCATACGGACCAAGCAAACCCTTTCCTCTGTTTTTAAAAGGTCTTGCAGCAGAAAACCACTCTGCTACCCTTCTCCAACAGGCCAACTCAGTCCAGCTCTCCCAGAGATGAAGAACAGTAAGTCTAAGGACTAATTAGACCACGTGTTTGTGGTTCAGTGACTTTCAAAGAGAATTGAGTGTGTTTTTTCCTTTCAGGAATTTTTCAGTCACCTTTTAGATTCACGTAGCTTTATGTACAACATCCTGCAGCAGGAGTTGCACAGCCAGCTGAATGAATACTTGTTTCAAACCTTACTACTTACCATTTCCATTATTCCCTTTAGCTCTTGTATTAAAAAAAAATGTGCTGAGGAACTTAATCTTTTGCTGCTCTCTCCATGCCACTCCCTTTACACATATCTCTCCTGCAATCTGGCAGGAAACTTTTTTTTTTTTTCCAGGTGAAGAATTGTATTCAGTACAGAACCTAAATGTAGCCCTGTGAGGTGAAACACAGCAGAAACTAGAAGACAATCTAGATGAAGGTTACTGCAGAAGGGGCAACTTTGTGCCCTGTGAGACAAATGGCATTATAAACCAAATGAAAATAAACCATTCTGTCCTTAACTGAATACCCACTGCTAAATCAGTTCAGAGAAAGAAATTTAGCATATTTACATATCAATAAATTTACAGAAGTTTGCAGCACAATCAAAACGCATTGAGACTCAAGAGCGAGGACTGAAGTACATTCACAACTCTGAAACAGAGCCACGTTCCTGTTTAGTAGCCTGTTTAAGAAAAGCTTCTCTTGCTTAAAAATGGGAATATTCCAGAATAGACTGGTGGACATCCAGACTGCTCTCGTTGCAAAAAATGGAATCTCCTGTGCTTATATCCCATCAATCATATGGGAGAAGCTTTTTTAGAAAAAGCATCTGGATACTCGTTGGACTTTTCTGCATTCTCACCACCTGGTGGGAAGAAAAGACCTCAATTAAAAGTTAAATGATTCTTTTTATCCAATAAATGCATTTTGGAAATAGTGACTGCATTTAAGTTAGTGCTTTACATATTATAACATAAATAGCTGCAATTTAGTTTTAAGATTCATTAATGTTAACTACTGTGGTAGTCCTTTATAAGGGGTAATTTTTTCTGAAACACATGGAAAGCTTTTAAATGTGTGTTGCCAGTTTTTTGGACCAAATTCTGCTGCTTTTTACAAGTTTGACTTGTATGGAGAACCATCAGCAGACAAAATTAATGGCACACATGAGAGAGTATTGTGGGCTTTTTTGGATAACTTCTGAAAAACAGTTTCAGGAGTACAGCATCATATTCCAAGCTGCAGAAGACCAACAGCTGTCCCATTTTTAATATGCTGAAATTATTTAGCATTCTGCCAGAGACAGATTTTCCACATGTGTAGCACCATAGAGGAGCTGCCTGCTCTTCCAGGGCCACAACTCAGCGGGCTGCATTAGATGACAGCGCTGGGTGGGGACACACAGCCACCACTCTCCCCTTTAGCAGGGAGATCCCCTGCACGTTGTCCCAGATGGAAAGAATGTGAGGTTTGTGCTCCACATCTGAGAGCTCAAGATGCCAGTGGGAAAGCAGGGAGAGACCTCGACAAGGCTGCATTTCTTACTGTGCCTGCTACCCCAGGTTCTTCCGCAGCCCTCCTGCAGCCCCACGCTGTGCACAGTGCTCTTGCTACTCCAGCGGCATGGATTTGGCTCTTAGAACAGTCGCATTCAGAGCTACTTTGCTAAACTGCCACCATTTTTGCTAAGAAACACAAATGAGAGAAAGAAGCTGCACTGGTCAGCAGCATGCAACAGGAAAATAAGAGTAATTCATGGGCTGTCTCCAGTTCCAGGATTTATGGACAGGGAGAAGAAGACCTCTCTCGCAAACAGTTGTTAGAGTTGCTATTTTCTGCAGTGAAATTGGGAAATAACTCCAACGACACCATTTCAAGCTCCCACAACAAATCTCAGACAAGTGAGAAAGCTGTCAGTGTCACCCCAGAAAAATAGCTTGCAACAGGACTAAACATCTTTCTTTAGCTTTGCTCTTAGGTTTTTTAAAAATTAAGCCTTGAGATTTCCATTAGTTTCAACTTCTTACAGACAGCACAGGCAGTAACTAAGTTATGGTACACTATGTAAAAATGCCAATACTGATCTGAGGAAAGAAAATAAATTAGAATTTCTTTTCTTGAGGCTTTTAACTTTTTCCCAACTGTAGTGGCAGACCAGCTTTGAAGGAAGCTGAACATCAAACCAATTTGCCTCTCCTTACAAGAGCCCGCCTGAGCTCATCCCTACAGTAAGGATGGAATCCCAGGAGCTTCCATCTTGCCCCTGAGCAGCATTTACGGTATCTGATGCAGTTGGATATAGTTTATCCAGTGTGATATTCAGTTAGCAAGGAATTTTTAGAATATATATATATAATCTGTCAGCGTTTTTGTATCAAGTCTCATGTAATATTATCTACTTCTTCCCCAGTGCATATCATCAGCATCACTGTGCACCTCGCTGTCAGTGTTTCATATACAACCCCTCAAACTACTTCACAGAATGCAAGTTACCCGACTTAAGTGGCAAGGTTCTGCACTTCCACTCATATTAAGTCATGAATATATCATGCCATTTTCATATACAAAGTGATATACTGAGATAGCTTGGAACATGGGACCTCAGCAAATCCTGCATAGGTGAGATTGTATTACAAGAACCAACGTCTGCCTACAGCCTTCAGAAATCTTCTGTACATAGCAGGCTGAAGACAGCTTAAATCAACCCTCTATAGCATACGACTTGCATTTCTCCAGGCTTTTGAGTTCAGGCAGAGCAAGTGAAAAGTAAAGTGAAAACATAACAAAATGCAGATAATTCTTCCTCCCCTCCCCCCCCCCCCACTCATATTTACAAGTCTTAAAAAACAGTAATTAAAAAAAACAGGCAATAACCAGTCCTCCAGCTTGTGGAAAATGCTCAGCATCCACATTCTCTCTTACAGAACACAAACTGTCATTTCTTTTTCTTTTTTTGCAGCTTCTGTTTTCCTATTTATTAAAAATATTAACAACAAGCAGCAGAGCACCCATTTAGGTAGTTATTCTACTGAAGACAGACAGGAAGCCGAATTATTTTGCAGTAGTATTATTACTACAGTAGGATTAGCATAACAAAGAAACAGACACCAACACAAAATGAGTCTGGGAAAAGTTGTAAGCTTACACCAATGCAATGAAAGAAGTACACTGTTTTACATTTGTGTGAATTATGTACATGTCCATCTGATGCAGTTACTTACTTGATCACATACATGTGACCTGAGTGACTCCATCTTCCTGGTCAAACTGTCCATCATCCAGCTCCCTTAATGCTCCATCGCTGCTACCGAAGCCTGAGAAACCCCCATAGTGAGAGGAGGCCTCTTTGACACAGCATTGCTTAGAAGGAGACAGGTGAAACTCATCAGGTGGTTGTCCAATTTCTACAGGGTGAGAAGGAGCAGGGTCTAATCCAACACTTCTGCTACCAGCTTTGCCTTTTTCCTCCCCAGTAACTTGCTTCAAGGATTTCTTCTGAAATACAGGAGAATGTTTAAACATTAGCTTACGTAGAAAAAAAAGCCAAATGCTTTGCAGCGAGCCACCGATCTGTCTGGAATTAATGCAAACTGCATTCTAAATAAGGTAGCATTTAACACCGGCTTAAATTATGAACCCCTCTGGAGAAAAATCCCAACAGATACATTTCTATCCAATATAAATAAATTGCGAGAGCGATGCAAAAGGTACAGCACAGTCAGGATTCAAGGAAGCATACACAAATGATAAAAAGAGAAAAAATATTTCAGCAATATTCAATTCCTGTGCAGTACTTCGTAGATCCAGAACAATTTACAAGTCTTACCCCCTGATAAAACCAGTTGTTTGCAGAAAGCCTAACACACATGCCTGACTGTGACCAAAGCAAAACAAAACCAGTACAGCTGTTTGTGCCACGCTCCGGCAAGTTCTTTGTTCCTCCTATACATCTATAATGTTTTTCCCAAACCCTTTTGGAAGAGTAAAAACAATGGCCCTTGAGGCGAAAGGAAATGTATTTAAGGGAAGCTGTTACAGGAGACATCAAGAAATGAGACCAACGGGAAATACTGCTGCCCCAAGAGAAGCAGAAGGAAATAAACTTTGCCTGGATGCCACAGTAAGAGGATGGAAAATCTGCCTGAAAGAAATAAAGAAAAAAGAGAAAACTCTTGAACATGAGTGTGGTTTAACATCAGATCTCCTCCTGATTCTGATCTGGTTTCTTAGAAAAGCAAATGGTATGTGATGAGGAACCCATCAGCACAATGCAGCCCTTTCAAATCCAAGAGGTGTTTGAACCACAACATAAATCATAATCCAGAGCATACTGCACAGGCCCATGAATATACAAGTGGACAGAGATATGAGGCATGAGGACATAAGATACAATCTCCTCAGAAAGAGAATAATGGGAATAAAAGACCAGATAACAGGATTTCCTCAATCCTTACTGAAACAAAGTTTTTTAGTATCAATCTACTAATTACAAAAGCAGCAACAAAGCCAACCCTAATGACACAAAGCGACCTGCATCATGTCCTGCCAGCCCCCACAAGGTGAATCACAGTGGACCAAGAGCTGGTACTGCCTGTGGGTCAAAGCCCTGCCATGGCCCCAGCCCACTGTGCTACTCTGCTAAGCGTTTCAGCTCTAGCCTCAACCACCTCTTTATCCCATGCTCAAATGACCTCATCAGACTGAGATTTCCTGGCAGAGAAGTAAAATATTCACTGGTATTTAAGAGGCACATTTAGATCCTATGTCTCCTCAGATTTTAAATGCTGTAATGCTTGTGTAAATGGCTACAAAATCACCTATTTCTTGTTGATTTCCAATATTTTAATGCTTACATCAAAGATTTTCCATTGCAGCAAAACAGTGATCAAAAACATACTCACCATTCTACTCTATAAATAAAGAACATGCAGGTCCAACAACTTCTGAACACCTCGCAATCAGGCCACAGCATTTACACAGCAAGCATAATGCTTCCTCTATTTCTAATTTCAAACACGTCTCAAAGACTCACCAGTTCCTCAGACTGAATGTTTTTACAGAACTGGTTTGTATTACAGCATCTCCTGGCAGAATCCAGTCTTAACCCTTCTAACCTGAGTCATGTAGCTAGGCTGCCTTTCACAAGCTGGCTGCAGCTAGAAACAGCATGTCTTACAGCTACCAAGGAAAGAATATTCACACCAGGAGACCATATACTTAGTTAAAAAAAAAAAAAAAAGTTCAGGAATATCAGAAAATCTACTTTATTTGATCATAAACCAACATGGTTTTATGCATTTACAATACTGATACCAACCAAATTATGTTCCAGAAAACGCAGACTACAAAAGCAAGAAAGCCAAGGTCATAAGCTGTGACAATGTGTGGCACATGGGGAGAAAGTGAAGGAAAATTACAAGAGGAACTGGCAGAATTTAGAATAGTGCATTGGCAAGGGAGACAGCACAGGACAGATATGAAAAAACTAGCTCAAATTTTGTAGATCAGGAAAACAAGTTACAGACAGCATACAAGAACCAGCTAGCAATTAAGGTGGTGATGGAGATGAAAAAGAAAGCAGAATTTTAATTGTGCAAGCTGAAAGCCATTCTTCCAGGACTGGAAGAATAAACTACCATGGGACACAGAGAAAAGGAAGTTAAGCTGGAGATAAGCAGACATCTGGAAGAGAACAAAAAAGAAAGACTGTATTTTAGAAACACTAATCAGAGGAAAACAGTTGACAGTAGCAGTCTGGATAAAAGCTGAAAAGATCAAATAAGAATTTCAGATATTTAGAAACTTATGGCACTAATTATACAGATTGGGAAAGAAGAGGTTAAGTATCATTCCTTCACCAAAGTCTAAAATCATGTAAGGCAAAATTTGTAAAGTTTCTATTCCAGTGTTGGCCTAAGTTGAAACACATAAAGCTCTCATAGCTTCTTAAAAGACTGTAATGGGAGGAGAAAGTTAAAGACAGAATAGCCATTAAAAAAAAAAACAAACAAAAAAAACATAAAGGAAAATGCACTGTGGGATGCATAAAGACTTGGCAAAGAAGAAGCCTCCAGTTTATCCTTCCCCAGCCCTTCCTACTGCACAGCACAACAGGTGCCACAGCTGTTGTGAGCTTGTGAGCAGGATGTGACGTTTATCAGTTGTTTAATCCTCAAAATACAGCCACCATTACAGCAGCCTCATTCAAAAGGGACAAGGGGCTGCAGTGCTACAGCCACAGGCATTCTAAGGCCTATATTTCTGTCATACATTTTCATGCAGCAATGGCTAACACTCCTTCACTCTGTTAACCTCCAGACTGCAGAATCCATAGTGCAGCTTGAAACTCATGTTCTTTTACAGGTGTGAAACTGGATGCTTTGGAGGTCAAAATAAAGCATCATCTTTTTCATAGGCAACAGAGGCAGGATTTGAGGCAGCTCACTTAGGAATTCCCTGAGACTTCCACAGAAACACTTGCAGCACAGCCTGCTTCACTCCCCCAAAATCAGTTATTTCTTACTGTACATAGCTACTGTGTGAATTACTCATTTTTTTACTTATTATTTTAATATTGATGCCATCAGCACATTACTCACCTCTGGTGTCTGGACAGCAGAATTCCATACAACAGGTCTCTGAAGAAAAACAACTTGCTTTGTGGCCAGATTTCCTTCACTAAAATGTAAAGAAAATGGTTTGAACATTTGAAGACAGTAATATTCACTGTAATACATTCACACGTTTCAGAGTCAATTGCGAATTGCTGCATGAGTCAGGAAAGCACAGACTGCCAAGCATTTACTGCTGTATTAATTCTTAAATAGGTCTGTAATTGTACTGAAAAAAACCAGAAGCACATAGCTGGGTTCACGTACTGCACATGAAAACAGAGTATAAAGTAAGGGGTTATTTGTTCTGGAGTAACAACTGCACTTGAAAGCTTAAGTCCACACGTTTACAGCATCTGAAATTAAATCTCAAAGTCTTTTCATCTGTCTTCGCTGGCAGATGTACAACATGCAACTACCTGTCAGCACCACAGGTACCCTCAATCTTGGTAGCTCCACAGCTCCAAATATCTCAAGACCTTTGTGATATGACATTTGTGAAGTCAGACTCTTCTTTGCTAACTAAAAGGTCCTTTCTGGTTCCAAGGTGACATCTAACTAGGACGGTGGAATAAGCTTGCCACTTCATCACCTATGATTAAAAGGTCTCAGCTCAGTTTAACCTATACATCCCCAATGAGATCAATGCTGCAAACTTTTGTGCATGGGATGGAGAATGGCATAGAATACACAATAGAATAAAGAAGACAAACAGAGGAAAAAAGGGGGAATTCAGTTTTTCGCTCTTGAACTTTTACAAATATTGATGCAGCTGCAGAAGTGATCTAAAGCAACTGCTATTTCATTAAAAAAGACACATGGTTCCTCAAAACCAACTCATGTTCATATCTCACAACCAGTACATTCTTTTACTCTTGGTAATAGTACAATCCTTCTTTACATCCTCTTGAAAATATAAGGCATACGTACTCACCACCTTTCCATCAGAAACACAGGCCAGCAAATTGATCACGTGTCTTGCAGAGCAAGACTGGGGGAATTAGATAAGAATAGCAAGACCAGAGCTCTCATACTGTGTTTTGATAAATTCCCTCATAAAGGAATTATGATAATTATGATAAGTCACAATCTTAACAACCACGTACAGAAGGCTGAAGCAACTGATTTGTGTTTCATGCCAGTGCTGGAATGATAGCATGAATTTGTATTTCATGCTAAGGACCCGCTCCAAGAACAACTGGGAATTAAAACGGCTGCAATGGGATCAGGAAGAATTTATTAAGAGCCTCCCCTAGCAGAGGCCCTGAAGTAAGCTCTGAGAAAATACACAAAACAGCAGTACTCCCAGCTGTGCTGAGTTGATCAATAGTGAATCACAGTGACTTTGCAATGGTGTTTGGCTCCTCACAATCTTCTCGATGCAGCTGAGCTCAGGCCATAGTGGGTCTTTGCATATCTTCCTTGGATGAAAAAGAGAACTATCATAAACTACAGCCTATGGTGTAAGCAGGGAAACAGGGCAATGAGCCCATTTGTTTCTTCAGTTTATCATGTTTTCTCTTCTGAGAATCCCTACTTCACTATTCCCATTCATTGAAAGAAAATGAATGTGTTACAGTTCCACACTATAACAAGAAAATCAGTAATCCTGCAAACTTACTCCACTTTGCCAGTTATTTTCCCCAGCCTGATTGTGCCTATTTTAATAGTAATCAAATGGGAAATCTCTCTTAAGAGACAAGGTTGTGCAGAGTCCCTGCTATGGGGAGATGCCTAAACCTTACTTCACAACTGTGTCTGCATTCCTTTAGAGAAAACAAAAAGAAACAAACTTGAAGCTTCCTTCAGCTTGTGCAAGTTCTCCTAGAACAGAGGAAGGACACGATGGTGAGTAGACAATGAGTAAATTAGCAAATGCCTAAGACTGACCTGATTAAAATGCTGCACACGACAAAGTAGCTATGAGCTTCATTCACAAAGAACTTGATGACAGTGGGGTTTCCAAAGAATTTAAATGAGGAAAGAAATGCTTAGAGCAAGCTACTCCACAGCTTCCCTCACACTTTCTCCTTCCCACTTTGCTTCCTAAATTAGGACATCTTGAAAGCTTAGATTAAGTTGCTTGTGATGACAAACTAATAACTAAGTCAGTGTTTCTGCACTGTATTTGCCTGCTTGCTTTTCTATGCTAGCAGACAGTTTGTGCTGCCCGTTTTCAAGGACTACAGTAATCACTGAGGGGAAATAAAGGTCACTGCTAAGTAAGGCTGCTGAAGCCTTTTCCTGTCCCTTCTTTTACAAGGGATGAAGAGCAACAGAGACTCTTTTGTTAGAACACCACTGTTTTGCTTGTCTGCTTATGCTGTTTGAGCAGCAAACTCTTCATCCAAGGAGCAATCCATCCTCTTCATCTACATGTCTCTCAAAAAAAATATCTCTCTAAGAACAATCATCCTACTTGAATCCAGATAGGACCACAAACAGCCAGGATTTTCACATCTGCTTTTACTTCTGTGCAGAAACCTTTTATATAAGGATCAATTAAGGTTGGACGGCATACCTTGAAAAACGAAGAAAAGGGGCAAGATAAATTCTTTTTAACCAATTCAGTTTATCTGCACTTCCTAAGAGAAATTTTCACACTCTTGTGGAATTGCATTGCATTTGGACTCCCAGTTATGAGGCAAATAGCAGTGGGACAATAAGGCTGATTTGAACCACAACTGTTCCATCAGATATATTAAAAAATACATTTTAATAAAATCTTGCTTTAAATCATAATCATGCATGAGGTTCTACAAAACCACAGTACTTCTTTTTTCTTTTTTAACTGTAGTAGCACTAAAACACCAACAACATATTTTCTGACACGTTTTTCCCCCCAGTCACTAGACTTAACATCTAAAAGGAATTCATTTTAGTCGTGCCATACAGCTTCTGAACTTGGAATAATTATGGTCAAATTCTTGTCTTGAAAGCATTTAACTACAACTAACAGCTGTGTATAAATGTAGGAGGCTCCCTAAGTCTCTTCCATTCTTCCTTGGTCTCATTTGTTGGTTAAAACAAAAAGTATCAAAGATATCAATAGATACAAACATTGCATCATTGGCACTCCAGTTTTTATGTTGCATGTTCTTATATGCCTGGAAAAAACAGAATCCCTGACAGAAGGCAAGGAACTTGTATGGGTATTATAGCCTGCTAACTGAAACAAAAAAAACCCATACTCCAAAACTGTCCTTACTTTTCACGCAGTGTGGCACAAAAGACAACTCTGCATGCTATCTACTATTGCTCTGTTTGTAACAACAAAGATCACGGTTCTTAAGGAAATACTTCCTGTATCCAGCATGATTCAGCCTGAGGTGGGAACTGAAGGACAAAATAGGCCTACAGACTGCTGCCCATGCCTGATAAGGGACCATGATGCATGACATGCAGTTAGCATGTGGCAGGACACCTCACACAACAGGACATTATTTTATGGAGAAGAACAGCTTTCAGGACGACAGACAACAGAACCACACAGGAAGAGGCTTTGTAGCCTGGAACTTTTCAACCCTTTCCTAACCAGAAGAAAAAAAAAACAACACAAAAAAAACCAAACAAGAGAAACACCCTGTGCATCACACACCTGTTACAATAAACAAACTTAGTCTGTGGTCACATCTTCTGTCTATGGACAAGCAGCAGGCTTAATGGCAAGGAGCAGATCAGAGAAATCTGCAATTACCAAAGTTTTGCAATACTTTAGGAGTAGATTAAGACAGAATACACTAAAACATGTAGGCAAATAAAAGTGGGCAGCAGGCTGCTCTGCTTACCTACATCTTTTATTCTTGAATAGAATTTCATTTACATATTTTGCACAGTTTTAGTTCTTAAATAAAAGTGAAAACATTAATTTCCCATATCATCTCAACGCATTGTTTACTCTGTTTGTTCAGTGGCTCTGGACCCTGTTCATATTCAGCCTGAGATGTGAGGTCAGAGTTCTCAGTCTCAGAAAAGAACAGCTGTTTGGCAGCAGTAGTATCCTTCTTTATTCAGCATTTAACTGACATTCCTAGATAATCTGCCAACACAGTAATGGCATCTTTCATATCAGACACATAGTAATCATCTAGGAATTTCCTTCTCTTCTTTAAATTCCAACATCAAGGCCTAAAAATAGCATTCATCAATCAGTCTTTTAAGAATTCTTCAATCCCAATTAGGAATTCCTATTCATGAGCTCTTAGGGTTTGTTTTTTTTTTTTTTAAAAAGAAACTGGGATAGTTGTGTATTAGATACATCACAACCATTCAGGCCAAATCGCTCTGCAAACTACCAGGCACAAAACAGCATCATTCTGCTCTGCCACATGGCTGCTCAGGACAGACCCCCCCCTGCCCTATGAGCCCTTGGGGATATGCACAGTTACACTGCTTGTGCCATAAAAGAGAACGTAAACCTCTCACATCTTGTGACTTACAACCTTTCTATCCCATTGTCCACTCAAGACCTCTCAACAAGTTCACCTGGATCTGAAGGTTTGCTTCTCAAGCTTTGAGACAGACTAGAAGTCTCAGATGTTTATCAGCAGTTTGCATCCCTTAAGGCATATGTCCAAAGCCAACACACTTAGATTAGTTTTTAAAAATGAACTGAAAGATAGCAAAATTTTGTTTCATGTTCTAAAAACAACTTCTCTCTGGAATGGGAGCTCTGGAAAGCAAGTTAAGAACTTCCTGTGCTTCTGAAGAGAAGAAAAACACACAGCAGCCCTTAATAGCAGAATGCACCAAATTTATTATCTGAATTTCTGCTGCCTTTGCTCGTATCCAGTTGGTTAAAACTATTAAAAAATCCCAACAAAACAAATACACAAAATTAAAAAAAAAAAAAAACAGAAAAAAACACAGAAACAAAAGAGGTTCTTTCTGATCAGAAAAACCTCCTTCTCACATGGGTGAGTTTGTTTAATTAATTCATATCACTTCAGCAAAGTTCCATGTACTTGGAGCAGCTCACTTTGAATCTTCCATTCGCATCCTTTTTTAGCTGTCTTGATTTAATACAGTAAGGTCTGGTTCCAAAGATTACTGAAGTTACTCAGTCCTTCCGTTGTTTTTAATGAGTCCCAAGCTATGTCTCAGTACATTTATTTTTTTCCCCTGAACGTTGGCATTCTTAATCTCTAAAAAAGCCCCCACACCACGTCAGCTTAGCTCAGTGACGTGCTTGCCATTTTTTAGCTTGGTATTACGAATCAAAGAGCAGTGCATTTTCCTTTAAAAAGAAAAAAAAAGTCTGGAACAAAACAGAGGATCTATGTCTACTGCTTTGCTCTTCCTATACGTACAAATGTTTGTTTCCCTGAAGAAATCTGAAGTAACATTATAGCAACAGAATAAGAGAATTGAAATCCAGTACTTTGGTACTCCATGTAAACTGAAACAACATCTTGTTACAGATGAGAAACAGCTCAATAACTTGCTGGACCAGCACATTCTCCTCCCTAGTTTGTCATATAGTGCATGACTGTCTTGTGACAAAATCATTTCTTACATAGTCTAAAATAGCCACTGACCAAGGCCCCAAGTTAGTGAGAAGTTTTGACACTTGCTTAAACATGAAGCATAAGAATAACCCCATCATTGAGGGCTGGGTGTGTGAGAAAAAGGTTACTAAATGAAATACTTTATGCTTATATATAAACAATGGATTTTACACTTTGGATTCTTGGTGTAAGTTTGAAACTTACTAAAGTTGGTAGTCCTGACACAGGGTGGTACAAGAAAATCCACCATAATGCTAAACAATTACCAAGTTTTACATGCAATTAACATTGCTAGCACATTTCTCGCTTTTATATTTCAGTATACAAAGTAAATGCTTGATAATTCTCTAAGCTGTGTAACTTTGAATATACACCAAGATGCTGCATACCTGTCATGTCGTACAATAGGTGTAGGCAGCACACAGGTCAGGAGCCATCCAAACTCAGCCAACGTGTTCAGTAAAGGTCCATAATCTGTTTTCACTTCACACCCCTACATCAATAATTACAGAATTACTGAAGACACACTGCACAGTTTTCTTTGCATTTCTATACTTAACAAATCACAAATACTCTCAGTTCTAATGTTGTAATTTGTTGTGGTTGGTGCAAAAAGATTTTTCACATTTCAAACAAAGCACTTTGAAAAGTTTAAGACAAGACAAGCTTAGGAAAACAAAGAGGAGAATATGAACTATAGACATGAGTCCTGATTCAGCAAGACACTCAAAGCACGCCTCTGTTACGTTTGTCATGTACATTTGTCATTTGCACATGTCAATTAACCCCCAAAGCAAAACTTTTCAAATAGCAGAAAAGTTTTCACAACTGATACATTTTGTTTTTTATTTCAGATATGAGTAACAAGCATCTCCCTCGAAATAAATCTAAATAAATCCACTTTTGTAGGTATTAGTCTTGTACCATCTCTTTTCAGGTAAGTAAATGTATTTACTATTGCCTATCTCAAAAGCAAGCCCTTAGCAACCTTCCAGTCATTACTTTAGATGCTACTAATTCATAACAAGCATATTATTTTACATTTTATTATTAGTTTTATTGCTTTGCCACTCTATATGAGCACATGCAACTTTACTAGAAAAAAAAATTAAGTCTTCCCATATTTAAAAGAGAAGCCATTCCATATTTACTAAGAGAAGCCCTACAACTGAAAGACCTACTTAATTCATTTACTACATTTTTTTAAATCTCACTTCTAGATTTTGCTATTTGTCTTCCTCTTTAATACCTCAGCATGTTGTCTGTGAACCAATACTTGCTGAAATTAAATAGACATTTTTCAAACCAAAATAGCTATAAAATAATTAATTTTATTTAGTTGTTGTATTTGCCGGTGTGAACATTTATTAGTATCAAACCAGAACACCAGAACACTGACCAATGATGGCCAGAAGTCTGACTTCATTTTTATGACTCAAAGCTAGTTTTAACTTATCCAGGTGGCTTAAAGAAAGCAGCCTGTAAAGTTCATCAAACACTGGTACAGCAATTCTAAGGATATGAATAAACTGTAAGCAGGAAATTGTACTGCCAAATAATCACCAATTTACCTCGATGACTGTCCATTGTTCAACAACAATTGCATCATTTCCTTTCCTGCTGGAACCTGGAACCCCAGAACCTTCTTCTTCATAAATAAATAATCCTTCTAGAGATCTGGGCAAATGGTCGCCTGTGAACATAAAGACAAACTTAAGCTGAAATACAGATTTTTAGGTCAGAATCTCACTGTGACGTACACATGGGCTTATTTTTTCACTGAAAAATCCTTTAAAGTGAACTAGGAACTCAAATTATGTAACTCCTATATAACATAACTGACATTTCTTTCTGCGTCTAGTTACAACTTCATGAAGCAGGTCAGCCAGCTTGTTATTCAGAACTCCTTTTCCTATACAAATTGAGCTACGAACTGTTTCATTTTCTCAAAAGCAAGTCTAAATTGAAGTTTCCCATATTCAACATATCCCCTGAAGCAGACAGGCACAAAACCTCTTTATTCAACTTCAATACTGTATGTCTGACAATAAATGTGGCTTTTGGTGTGGTGAGAGAGGCTGTGAAGACAAATGAAGCATGAAGTGTAAAGCCTAGCTGCAGTTACTTTAATATGTGAATGGGCGCAGGAAAAGCCTGAAACAGAAGTAATTGTAGGAAGATTCCTGATGGGAAGGAAGTTTGAGAGCCCACCTCCTTCACTTAGTTGTGAAAGTCTAACAGTACAATCACCCCAACTAAAGCTGCAAATCAAATATGAGTTCATATTTTGGCTCTTCCCTCACAGTGATGTATGGCTTTGGGCACAGTCATATGAACGCCTGCACAGCTCCTGCTAGTTCAAAAATACTCCACCTCTTTAGTTCACCAACTTCAGCCATTCTCCAGTACTCAGGCAGATACTAAAAATGGTCAGCCAGAATTTTACTTTCATCGTTGTTCAAACATAACTCTAAATCTTACACCAGGTACCACCATTCAGTGGCTTTTAAGACAAAGCTCTAATTCAAAGCGTATCACATCCTCCAGGTTATAATTATTGATATGATTACAAAATGTGCTGCATGTCCTACATACTTGTATGGCTAAGAGACTCTGCAAGGAAGAATGGAAGTAAACCAAATGGCTGGTAAAACAGGATTACTCAGATTACTTTTGTGATTGGGTTCTCTTTTGAGAACAGAAGACAGTTAAGAATTATGAGTGATTTGGTTCTAACAAACATCCACCTGTCTTAAATCAGGAATTGAGTTTTGAGAGGAGCGTTTCTGTGGCAGCTCTACCTGCATCTGCTGTCTTCATTTTTATTTAATCAATAGCTAAAATCTTGCTCAATTCACTAAAGCAACGTGGAAGAAAAACTGCTGCTTAAGGCGCCTCACAACTGAAAGCAAACTAAAAAATGGAAGTGAAGACAACTAGATGTATTGCAAACTCAGCAGCTGAAATAATCCTTTACTGTGGTCACAGATACTTGTCAGCTGCAGAACGTGATTCACACGGTGGGCTGTGCCTTCAAATGCATTCAGTTTAATTCAGTAGCGTCACACCTATGTGTCCAGCTGAAATCTATACCCGCCCAGTGGGCCTGGAGAAGGAGCACCAACTGCTGCAAGAGGCAGCACGAATCCAAGCAAGTCATAACCTGGGTATTAAAGTTGGGAAAGTTACTCACATAGAAAAGAGCAGACAGCAACAGAGGAATGGGAAGATTGCAAAAACTGTTTTTGGAGAACAGCTGCAAAGATTAATTTCAACAGCTGCTGAAAATATCCCATGGTGAATTGTAACTTATCTCCACAGAGTTATTTTGCAGCTCTAAAAAAAACTGTATTGAAAACCAGTACCATTTCTCACCTCTCCACATTCAAAGTAATCTTGGCTTTTGTACTGACTTTAATAGATGGGAATTTAAATCTAAGAGACCGAAGAGACTGCCAATACAAACTGTGCCATTACATTCTTTATGTGCACAAAATTTGCAATTTAAGAGGGAATAGGTGACAAATTCAATTTGATGGAAATATAATGATGCTGATGCACTTGTTCCTTCATAGATTCTGGTAAGTACTAAATTGACTTTGTTTCTGAGCTAACAGAAATGTAAGTAACAGTCAAAGCTAAGTTATTGAGAAAAAAAAAAAGTTAAGCTCATTCTCTCATGATTTGATTTATGAAGAACACAATATATATAACCTAAAGATCTCATACCTTTTAAAAATTGAACATTTATTACAATAGACAATGAGTTCTGAAACGATCAACTGTGTCAGACTCCCCTGGACTGTTCACTGAGCACTACAGTACTGCCACTTCCTTAGTAATAATTTCAAGTAACTGCACAATGCTAACTACATATGGTTTCTACAACTCTCGCAACTCCTGACTTCAAGACAAATTCAGTCCTCTTAATCACGTTTAGGAACTCTGAAATAGCCAGGAGAACAACTGAGATCAAACTCAGAATGAACAAGGAAATACAAAAATCTGAGGGAAAGTCCTGCAGGCTGAAGCTTTTTATTTGTAACCATTTCTGAATGCTAACTGAGCTTGTACATCTCACAAGGAGGGAGCATCCAGTGTCTTTCCCTCCCAGCTACATGAAAAGATGCTGGAGGATCTCCCTACAGTTGAGAGCAAGAGCAAAAAGCAGATTTCTCTACTCTGTGTATTTGTCCAATTTTGACAGAACAATGTAACAAAAGATGCTGGATCTGAAACTTCAGGATATACAGTCAACACAATTCATGGTTTTGCTAAGAATTTTAAACCTGGCAGAATGCTGAAGAAAGGAGAAATTATTGGAAGCCTTACTTTGACTTTAGGCTTAATGGTACAATAAGCACAATGAGAACTGAAGTTTCTGTATCTCATTAGAAATGTTTCAAGAGAGCAGCAGCAGAACATGTGCAGGAGTGAAACATATCTTATGATTTTTTTCCCATTATCTTTCCCTTTAAAAAAAAAAAAAGAACTAGTGAATAAAGTTTACTTCATTATTATGCTTTGAGAATTGTGAATTTCAATTGCTGTTATTCAGAGTTATAACTGCACAAAACCATTTCCTTTTCAGGCATCAGATTCTACTAACTTACTGTGACTATCCGAACATGTTTACATACTGCCTTTCACCATCATGCAAAACAAGACCTACTTTTTGCACAGTAATTAGATCCACATGAGTAAGTAAAAGCTTCAAGGAACTCTGGGATAGTACTCACCTTTAGAAATTTCCCAGTGTACAAAAGAATCAATTAAAGATAATCCTTGTTTGTAATAAAATGTGGTTAGTTCTAGCCAGTCTGCTTCCAGTGTACTGATAACTGGTCCCTTTCTTGTTACTTTCATGGACAAGGTGCCTTCATGATAGGTCCAGCTGGTAGAGTCATCATCAAAAACATTGAAGACTGTATAAAGCTTGTCTAAGAAAAGAAAAAAAAAAACAAAAAAAAACCCTCTAGAAGACAGAGCTTTCAAATAAAGACATTTTCTTATTCCAGCCTGTTTCTCTAAGTAACAGTTTTACAAATTGTTTCCTGACATGACTGCACTCACCTAGAGCCCTAGGCACCAGGAAAAAAAACAAAAAACAAAAGATGAGGCTTTAGGAGGGTAAGCTGTGGGGTACTGTACAAATTGGAACATACTGCAGTTGGGTTCTCACCAGACCTTTTGCGTAGCCATATCTTGAAAAAAGGAAAACATAGCAGATTTAAGTGAAAACCCACTGGAAATACACTTTACTTTTGCCAGTCGTGGAACTAAAGGCTAAAAATATTTGAAGTGACTGCAAAGAAAGATTAAAAAACACGTTCTAAGTTTTTATATATTACAAATACTCATATTCATTTTTACCATTCTTTTCTGAAGATGACTTAAATACCTGTATAATCTGTGGCCTGCTGGGGTTTTCCACACAGAAACTCATGAGAGCATGAGTGTATGGAGAACAAACAGAACCTGCATATTCTCAAATGTGCTAAATACCTACCTATTGAGATAGTGCTCTTACAAAAAGGTCAAATATTCATCCAAAATAAAAATTGGAAAAGTCATACTATTTAAGTAATTGCTGGTGCTGAGTTACAAAATCTTAGCTAACTGAATGTATTCTAGAAGGAAAGAACAAGATAGACTCATGTCACTGTAGCAGGGAAATAAAACAATTGTTTAAAAAACAAACAAACAAACAAACAAAAACCAAAGCCTTCATGTTATGTCTGCTACTGCAACTTCTGAGCAGCCTAAATCAACACAGCCCTCTAGAAAGCAGAAGCATTCACAATGCCAAAACAGGGGAACTCGGATGATCCCAGTTAAGATGTCAGTCTCTCTAAGCTCAAGAAATAGTGGGAGAATCCATTCTGTTACGGACAGCAAACTCACTATCTCAGGCTGTAAGGAAAGAGTTAAACTTTAATGGATCATGCTATAAAGGCTCAGCATGTTGTACGAGAACTGCTTTAATTGAAGTGTTAAAAATAAGAGTGACATTGATTATCTCAGTGCTTAGTCATTATCCTCACAGCCCACCAGCTAGAGAGAGTGCTTAACTCTTTTGCAGGCAAGTGAAAAGACTGCAATTAAACATGTGGCAAATCACAGGTGACCCTATTATCAGTGTAATCTTACGTGCAAATTTCATATTTCATGCTTTCAATATAGTACTATAATACATTACTTCTTATGAGTTTATGATTCCTTCTTCCTTTCCACATTTTCCTCCTAGCAAATGAGAAGGACCTAGTGCTTTAGCATCAGAAGTCACAGTTTCAGGCAGCATCTTCTACACTACGTACCTTATAGATTCTTGTACAGCTAAATCTTCTACTATAGCAACAACATTTTTCAATGACACTTTTCCTAAGCAACTTTTCAGTGCTTCATTTTCTCTAGTGTAAATTCGTTCTGTAACAATTATCCTCTCTGATTTCACGGTCAGTGCATTAGTTGAAGTAATCTCTTTCAAGATACTTCTTGAAGGCATGTTAACTAGAAAGAATCCATTATGAATGGATTTGCTTGCCGTACATTATGCGAGCTGGCTAGAAGCACGTAGAATCACAGCTCTGAATGAATGGGGATCCCCTCATTGTCATTTTAAAGCAGACGGGAGGACTGGGACCATTACAGTGTATTTTTAGATGCTTATTACAAGCTTAGGGTCAATATTAAGACAAGGTAAAAACCAACATATTTGGAAATAGCTTTAAAAGCATCCGCATCACATTTTTCCTGCCACGTTTGCTACACATATATCCAGCAAAGAAGTTACCTGTTTGCACCCCACTTAAAACCAGGGCTTTTAAAAAAAAATCTAAATATTACCATAGTTCACATACATAAAGCAGGAAGTAATGACTTTCTAAAAAAGTATGGAAGCATTTAGGAAAGATGTATCTTCCAAAACCAGTATTTGATGACAGGATATGCTGTTTTATTCTACTCCTTTTTAAAGCAACACCCTATCTTATTTCTGCCACAAAAAAAGCATTCATTACCATTTCCTTTTCGTGGTTTAATAGGGCTGACTTCTTTTCCAAACTGGAAATCTGCATCCTGTAACAGTCCGCTATCTGCTTGCATTTCCTCTTCATTCCCACTCTCAGATAGGTTATCACACAGTGACTTTTCATTCCAGTTTCTATAGTCATCATCGGAACTTTTTCTTCTGTGTTCCCTATTTCTTCTGCCCAGTGTCGATTCCAGCTCTGCATTCCCATCTGTGCTTGCTCCATTACAGGCTTTAATTTGAGGAAAATGTTGTGTTACAAATCCCACAAATTTCCTTCCTCTTTTAGCTGTTTCATTAACCTGCATTTAAAACCAAAATTTACCTGTAAAGCTGTTTTAAGACACTGTGCCACACATTAAAAAACAATATAGTGTATATTACTATAACACACATTTTACTTAGTAAACTGCTGATTTTCAAGGAGACGTGGGGTTCCAGTGTTGCACTACGTAAGGGTAGCTTGTCTATGTAAATTGTCTATGTCTTTCAAGTAAATAGAAGCCTTCCAGCATGTATTTGGGCTCAGGCCAAGAAGGACGGCCAACACTGCTACTGACTTCAGTGTACACAGAATGCTTCAATAAGCACAAAACCAAAGATTTTTTTTCCCCTCTCTGCATCCCAGTGACACACAGCATGCTGGTGCAATAAGCAGTATGGTACTTCTGAACTCGTGTGAAGTCAGTCACTCTAAGATTACTAACTCTTCACTCTGCTTTTAGCCAGGGGTGTTTTTCCCTCTCCTGGGGTCCCCAAAGACAACTGCACAATATGTGCAATCAGTAGGAAGTATCTGTTCTTGGAAGCAGGGTTTTTCTTTTCTTTTGCTGGGATAAAGAGCATTTCCTCTTACTGCAATAAAGACTTGACAAAAACACAGGGAAACCCCAGCCCCAAAAGAAGTACTCATTTGTGAAGCACTCAGTGAGGGCAGAGAGGGAAAGATCTCTACCTAGGTAACTATGGAAACTATTTTATTCAGAATGATTAATTCTCTATCCACTGGAGGTACTACAAGATCATTTAGGTATCACAACAGCATTACAGTTTATCACCATTATGTATGCACAGCAATGATCTGGACATGTACCTGCATTCATTATGAAAAAAAACTTATTTTTTCTTGTTTTTGAGATCTTGAAAAATGTGTATGTAAGTTTACAATGGATTCCTCCCTCATCTTTTTAAAAACACCAGGAACATCTAAAAATAATTTTTATGTAGCTCTTCTCTTCTACATTTCCTTGCAAGACTGAGTCACTACTTAATTTTAAGCATTTTTCCCCACTACTAACGTGGCAATAGGCACATCATATAAATGCATAATGAAACAAATCACAATTTTTAACTCCTGAAGATTTCAAAAAAAGCCATTTAGAAACTTTAAAGAACTCTGCTAATTTCAGTGATCATTCAAGTATTTCCAATATTTTTACTCTGCTTCCTTCTTTGACAACTGATGAAAAGATAACTCTTACAATAACAACAATTTCCTGTTTAAGCAAGTCTTCAATTCTGCAGAGGAAGTGAAACAAAAATAAGTGGAACTAGAGTTTCATTTCAGTGGAAGTTCAGTTTTCTGTAATTTACAATATTTTCAGAAGCTCTGCCAAGTAAACATTGTAATATAATTACTGTACCTATTAGATTTTGCTCAAAGAAAGACGTACTTAGAAAAAAATCAATAAATTCACTGGAGGTATTCCTAATGAACTTTACACAGAATACGATCAAACTTGAGATCAAAAACAAAACAGAACAACAACCACCTAACTCAAGGAAAAACTACGAAGCAAGCGATTTACCACGACTGACCGAAAGTTTGGGCCTGATTCTGCAGTTCTGCTTGCAGTGCTCTCAGCAGCTATTCTCCCAAAGCTTTCCAGGTCTAAATAATAAATTCTAAGTTAGAAAATCAGTGAAGAAAATGATCTCTCTGCATAAAGGAAACACTTAGCTTCTAAAAAGTAAAACCAAAAGCTAAAGCTCAGAGACAGCTAAAATAAACACAAACAAATCTGTCATTTGCTAATCCTCAGCTATTTACATGCACCCTAGAAAAAAAATCCAAGGAGAAGTTTGAAAAAAAAAAAATGAATACCCAAAAGCACAACTCACCACCACAAAGCGTAACAAACAAGAACCCACAAAATTCCATTACCTTTTCTAACAGTTCTTTCACTACTTCATTTGTCAGTGTTTCACATGTTAAAGGACATTCCTCAATCACTAGCCTGGGGTTCCTTTGTCCTCTGGGTGCTGCATGCTTCTGGCTGGAACACAGAAAGAAAGCAGGCTTTGTCAGTAGTTTGCTGCTAACTTGGGCAAATACAGAATTCTTTTCTTCTGGTATAAATGTTATAAAATGAATCCTGGAAACATTTTTTCATATTTAAAACTCCACTTTTTTTTGTGTTTTGCTCTACTTCTTACACACCGTAAGTTGCTATTTTGTACTTCAACATCAGGATAAAATATATTTTATATAGAAATTTCATTTGAAGATCATTTATAGACATTTTCTGAAACTCAGCTTTGAAATGGTAATTTTACACTATTAATATGTTATTGATTAATTTTAGCAATCAAGGCAGCTAGATTATCAAACAACAGCCCAGGCACATGTTAGAAATCAGTCTAGTCACAAGTACTTTGGGTTACACAATGTTAATTTTACTCCTAGGTTTCAGAACCCTAAAAGCTTCCATTACAGAGTAGTATTAATTATTTTTTATCTTAAGTCAGTTACGCTGTTAATCACACAACATTTGGTGTTTATCATCTATATAACGAGACCATCTTAGCTGATGATCCCATTGCATAAGCCCCTGCCTTAGAATGAAGCACCAGTGAGATTTTTCAAGTATCAAAGGTTTCCTTCCAGTTGGTGGCTGGACAAGCTGCATCTGCATTCAAGAAATCCAACAGAGGTAAATATGGCATCAGCAGAGGAGGCTGAGAACTTACACCTAACAGGTTAGAGGAGATTGCAGGTTCTTGTCCCTCACCTGTTCCCAGGGCCCACCAGTTCAAATGACAGCTTCACAAGGATCCCACATCAACAGGGCTAAGATGTGCTGAGAGAGCTGAGCATAGGCAGCCTCAGCTCTTGGAAACCTCAGCTTCACAAAGCAAATTTTTTTCTTAAAGCATTTGTCCACACAGACAACATTCACCCTGTTTGTAGGTGAATTTATGAAGTTAAGTTGTATCAGCTATGGGTGATGCTTGCTTATATAAAGCATTTGACCAAAGAAAGGTCCCTCAAATGAGCCATGTTTTGTAGAACTCCAAGAGTCACATTTCTGCAGACTTTCAGAAGCAGCTGGAAGAACCTTTGTGCATCGTACTAGAACAGATAGAAGGGGAAGCATGACACCTCTTAATGCAAAAACAAAACCGACCCTTCTAGCTACTCAAATTAAGAACAGAAGGCTGCTTTCCTTGCAATTAAAGGAACATTTCTTTATACCTTTTCTTAATGATCACATGGTGATTATAATTCAGTGAAATCATGAGTAATATATAAGATTATGTACCTGGAATGAAAACAAAGTCTTGAATCTCTTTTGCTGTAGCAAACAAGTTTTGTATGGCCTCCCCACTCACAATCATATAACACAGAATGGCTTGGGTTGGAGGGTTAGAGTTAGGTTATCAGGTTCCAACCCCCTGCCACAGGCAGGGCCACCAAACTCCAGATCTGGTACTTGACCAGGTTGCCCAGGGCCCCATCCTGAGCAACCTGGTCACAGAGTGCCTCCTCCTTAGTAAGAAGGATCACCTACTTCTCTTTGAGGGACTGTATTTCACCTACAGACAAGTAATGATCTTACAGAACAAATTAAAAGACAAACTTAAAAAAAAAAACAACAAAAAAACAAAGAAGAAAAGACAGATGTGAGAGAATTGAAGCAGGTTATTAGTCTCCTGGCATTTTGTTTGATCTTTTACTTGTTGCAGGCTCTAAGACATGGTTCTTTATTATAAGAGTGTACTAAAAATGTAAGGGGTAAATTTTAACAATCTCTCCACAAATTCATTTTAAAATTCTGTTATAATTACAATAAGCAAATTTAGATTTGTTTTAAAGTTAACTGAAGTAAACATTTACCTATTATACACTTAGGGTTAATTAAAAAAAATATTATTGAATTGGTCACCTTTCCAGATAGGGAACGGTTACTTGGTTCTTTGAGGTACTTTAAAACCACGTGTGCTGAGCAACCCTCTTACAAGCACTGGGGCAAAATAATAAAATTATTTCATTGTTACCTTAATTTTAATCGTGAAAGTACCACCCGATACATGTGACTTGCAGGGAAATTTCTTCTATGTCCAATTGGCAGCAGAATAGGATGAACAGCTCCCACAACATATCCTTTGTTGTAATATTCTTCTACCTTAGATGCTATATCCAACACAGAACTGATCCTGATAACTTCTGGATTAGAGGAAGCTAAAATCATTGAAAGGATAGAAGAGAAGCACATTATACCATGGACACACATACTCCTAAGAGAGTTTCTATTATTTAAAATACACAAATCCTATCCCAAGGTGCCTACTAAAAATATGTCGTACACGGCTGATTACTAAGTGCACAACTAGGTGAAATACATGTATTTACAAATAAACATGATAATAAACATGATCTATTAAGCAGTACTTCACCGGATATAGCTTTGTCAAGCTAATTTAAAAGCTACATCAACAACAAAATATGCAATAGATCTGAATACTAAAGCAACTATTTCGTCTAGCCAGAGCCTTAAGCATATTGCAGAACCCTCTGAATCCCTGTTGAGAGGTAAATTTCCACAGAACTAATTTAAGCCTGGAACAATTGGTTTCTCCTCTTCAAATACTTTTTTTTTTTTTTTTTTTTTAATCTCTTAGAAGTGATTTGTGGATTGCAGGTTGACATTTTTACATAATCCCAATTACAGTTTTCAAGTAGACTTAAATTGATGTCACAATAAGCTATGTGCTGTCACTAATTGCCAAGCAGGATCCATCTGAGGGTATGCAAGCATTTCTGATTAGTAGGTTAACAGCACATAGGAGTTGGAAAAAGCTTTTGAACAGTCTTGTCCACAACTTTTGCATAGAGAAAAGAAACATTCTGCACTGTCTATAGCTCATGTATTTTGCCATAGTATTGAAGTACCAAAGAACTAACTATGCTACAGCAATGCAAACACAGAAAAAAAGCAGTTGAGTGCAACATTATCATCATTTCAGAGATTTTCCAATTGCCTTAACCATTAAAGATCATTTACTTCCCAATATGTAACCAAAATACTCATACAAATAACAGAACTATAGCTAATGTGCAAATTGTATAATAAGCTTTAGAAGCACCTACTGAAGATGATAACAGCTACTCCACACATATTGATACACTCTGTTGTTCAGAGTGACAACTTAAAGCATGTCATTGTCATGGGCCGACATGACATACCCTTGCCTCAATATTCTTTCTCCTCCCTCTAGTAGGAGGGTTCTGGAAAAGCCTTATGCATTCTGCTTGAAAAGGAATATTTAGCTTAGCCCTACATCATGCATAAGCTGACCTCCAGTTGCTTCTGAATCTGAGACATGCCTCATGACTGAAACGATGGAATTCGCAGTCCTTGACAGGCATTTTCAAATTACACTTTGGAGTTCACTGCTCCCCAGCAAAACGAAAGACTGGCTGTAATGTTTCTTGCTGGGGATTCCCCTGGTGCAGGGGTACCTCCATGGAACTCAGAGCTGATTCAGGCAGTAGGAACATGGGAATATTGGAGGGAACAAGAAAGTACAAGAGACAAGGTAAGATACACTGCTCACAACAAATTAAGATGCTCAGAAATGCCATCCAGAATATGTAGACTGCAGTACGGTAGATCTAATCTACATCATGGCTAGCGAGAAGATCAGGGACTCCTGCCAGTCTCTCAAATAGGCCTATTCCAACTTCATGCATCTCAAATCCAATGAAGCAGAGAATAAGGAACATAAAGCTGAAATAAAATGAGTTTATCCTTGGAGTACTTTCATATTAATGCAGGCTATTGCTTACTGTAGATCTTAACAAGGAAAGACATTCAGTTCGATTAAGGTGTTTTTTTTTTTTCTTTTTCTTCCTTTTTTTAAAAATTTTTTATTTGGTTCCAGATCCAATGGTAACACATCACATAAGGGGAAGACCTTGCTCTGGAAATCACCAGAGCATCATGAAGATATAACACACAACTTGACAGCCTAGTGAAAACTAAGTTTGGTCTGCAGTGATAAAAAGCTCGCTCTTAAAGTTGCATTTAGTCCAAGGATACTGGAATAGCAACAAGCATGCAAATGAGTTGAATGGGTTAAAAGGAAAGAATAGTTAAACTTATTTTCTACAGTGCTTCACCAATCCTCATGTTTTATACGCAAGCAACATTCAGAAATGCCTCCAAGAAAGACTCTATAGACCACTTTTACCTGTTTTCACAATTTTAGCTGTTGAGAGGCTTCAAAACAAAGACCCTCAGTGTTACATATGTGCACATAGCTAAAACCATTCAACAGAACCACATGTACGTTCACAAATCCAATTGCTTGCAGTTAGTACTTACAACCAAGCAACCATCTGATCTTAATATCACAGTAAGTTACAGAAGCTAAGCACTTCTGAATATCGGACTAAAAAGAAGAAAGTAAATCTTTGCCACTGGAAAGAATGCTAAAATACTTTGAAGAGAAACCTTTATTTGCAGTTCTCATTGCAATTTCTCCTTAAAGCCTCAATGTTCTTTAAAGCAGATCCTTTACACAACACTTCCAAAAGCTTGTTACTTCAAAACACAGCTAAGCTGTTCAGGACACAAACTACTGAAAAATATTAAATGCATGTAAGCATAAAAAACCTGAACTCTATTGTCCTTCCTATTATCAGTAGGTCAGTAGGCAATTCATGTATGCATTCAAGTCCATCTTCATTTCCAGCAAGTTACCTAGTACTACCTATCTACCCAAAGCTTTGTTTATCCCAAAAGAATAAACCAATGAGAACCTCATCTGTCTATGAGTAAATAAACAGAGCAATAAATACAGTCAAGTACTACAACTTAGTAGAACATTGCTTCAGGTAGTTCTTGTAGTTCTTCAGGGAACACATTGATAAATTTTAATAAAAACATTACTACAATCCTTTAATTTGGGAAGAAAAGTAAGCAAAGATTAAGTTTTGTTTGTGAAAAAGTTCCCGAACATGTAACAAGGCATGTGCTTACACTTCCTCCCTTTATTAAATCCCTCTATCTAGAACATTCACTATAATTACTTAATATTAAGAATTTGCAGTAGATTGGATGGGTATAAAATGCAAGTTAACAAAAAAGTGGCTGCAAAACTGAGCTGCCTGCTCTGAGAGGGCAGCCATCTGGGCTTGTTTATGTTTTCAACTTTCTGGAAACAGGGAGTTGCTCTGTTAGAGACAGGACACCCTCGGGAAGGAAGTACCCCACAGAGCACTGTCTGCCTCCAGCTATGCATACAAATTTTGTTTCATTTTGGTCACAATTTCAAAAGCCTATTCAGCAACTAGAAATGAAGCACTTGCAGAAAAAAGCCCAAGCAAAACTATAATACTCTTAAAAGACCTACCAAAAGCCTGGGATGTACCTCAGAGGAAAGTATTCCCTGTATAAACTAAGGAATAGACTTTCTCTTGCACAAAGTAACAAAGACAATGACAGCCTGTTTTCCAAATTTGAATGCATTTTAAGACAATGTTTCCTCAGTTAAGGCATCCTGCTCTCCTTACTGAGGCACGGCATATTTTCTGAACAGTTGCACTAAATTCAGACAACCGTTACTCAAAGTGAGTAAGGATGGCAGTGGCTGACTCACAGGAAACTAGGAAAATCTCTAGCAGTTTTCAGCCAGCTTCCCAACAAGGACAGTTGTGTAACTCAGACAGTTTGGTTGTTAAAAAATACTTTGGTAGTTTCCACTGTAATTTTATCTAAGTGAAACCTTCGTCACGATTTGCGTTTCAAAATAAAAGTCTTACATTTTGGCTGGCTTTGATTAAAATAACAGATTTACTACAACTCAGACACAACAGAACAAAGTTAAATTCTATTTCCTACTTTCTCAGAATAGCAAAGCCGTAATGTAAGAATTACCTTCTAAAGTAAAATCCAGCAACACATATTCATAAGCAGAATCAGTCTTTGTTTCAACTTGTGGTCGCTTCAATGTAGAAAAAATTTTTCCAGGGCTGCTATCATCTGGGTCTTCCAGCTTTCTCAGTCCGCACCCCATGGTAAGATCTGCAAGTGATTAAATCTCAGGAGAAGGAAGGGGGGAGCAACGAGATCTGCTGCTCTCACTAAAAACAAAACAAAACAAAACAAAAAAAAATCCACCAAAAAACAGTAACCAAGAGATTCCCTTTGATTTTGTTTTCTATGAGCTGTAAATCCAAATACAGGAAAAGTCTGTCTCCCGAAACAAAAAGTGGAGGTACTTCCCATTCATTTTTTATATATAAACAGCAAATCCATCATGATTTCAAGCCATAAACTTAGTTCGAGTAGGCTTGATTTCTGCAGCAACGTTAGAGCTGCTACAAGCTAGCAGAGATTTTCCATGCCACGTCAATTTACAGCCAGCCCCCTATCAGTGCTCTCTCGCAGAGGACACCAATAGTGCTTTGTTTGTCCTTCTAGACCGACTGAGTAAGAAGGAGGGGCGGCGGGTGTGGGGGGGTGGGAAGTAAAGAACCGAAAAAGAAAGTTAGAGAAACTTGTACGTGTGTAATTACTTACCTCCAGAAGGAGTACCCAAATGCAGTAGCAAGTCAGAGGAAAAAAAGCAAGTTAGTCAGAATGAAAGAATGAGAAAAAGAGCCTCAACATGGTTGGAGACGAAAATCATTTCCAGAAAGGAAGTCAGCTTCAAGAGGAAATTGCTTCTGGCATCTCAAAGGGCAGAAAAGTAAATGAAAAGCAGTTTAGTCTTTATTTTAGATTTCCAAGTTTGGTTCCTATTTCCTTTTCACAGAAACTTTCTTCCAGAGGGAGAAAAACACAAACATAAGGTAATAACGTAAAAATGTTGTAAAGAAGCCTCCTATCAAGAAAATCATGAAAATATGATTATGATAAAGCATATACATCCCTAAGACCAACTTACATAACTGGATTTGAGAAACACTGAAAAGTAACTCTGGCATTCCCTTCAGGTCAGAGGGACCTTTTCAAGCTAATATGAACATAATTACAAGACCGCCTGCCCCACTTTTCATGAGCATTGAACAACTGAAGTCCTCTTCTCTGTCAGGCTGACCTCGGCTGAATAACTGCATGCACTCAGCACTGCTCCCTAAGCATCTTTTTCCGACAAGTGCTGAAAATTTAGTACAATTCCAAAGGCTCAGAATACATTTAATTAAAAAATAAACAAAATAAGAAAAAAAGAGGGAAAAAAATACCAACCAACACCTAATATAAGCCCTCATTATTCTCACATTAACTACTGCAATCACTTGTAGTCGTATTACACCTGATGCAGACCACAATAACATACGGAGACAAAAGGAACGGTGAGTGATATTTCAGGGCTCTGGTACTGTAGGGATGGGCAGGAAAAGAATTTTCATTATTTATTTTTGGACTACATGTAGAATAATTCAGTCCAAGCCAGAGATTCACGATGCCATTTTGGATTAAAGGAATCGTGAATTTCAATTTTAAAAGCTTTTAAATAATTCTCCCTGAAGAAAAGCGATCTCATCAAAATGGCTCACCTTTTCTACAACCACTGTGATTTAGACAAACCATTTTTTGTTTTCTCCCTGCTCTAATGTAAACCAAATGATGTAACTTTATTATTAACATTATTATTTAAAGTAGCTTACCAGGAGTAATAAGGGGGCAGACTACACTGGCTCTGAAATCTATGCTGTACTCCAAATTTACTTATTCTGGAATAACTTAAGTCACTGAGCGTGGAATCTATGCAGTATCACCAGTTCAATCTTACAGCCTTTAACGCAAATCCCCAGGTGCCAAAACCAAGAGATCCTTGCCCTTTCTTCTGATTAAAACCTAGAAGAACATACCAACTAAGCAACGGAGCTCTTCAGCTTCCTGCATGACTGTTTACACAGGGATCGCTTCCAAACAGATTTTCCTTTTCCCCCCAGAAAAGGTAATCCATGACCCGTTGCTATCCCAAACAGACATGTAAGGGTCTATTCAACCTGGAGAATCCTGCTGTCCAATTCCACAAGGATCTTGTAACCTCCTGTACAAAGACACGGTGACAGCTAAAATAGAAAGCTGAAAAGCTTTCTGCAGCAAGAAACCAGCTGACACCTGGATTTTACTTTAACTAAAGCTATCTTTGCATTTAATGAGGCCAGTACTCAGTCATTTGAGCTCTTTGCAGCAAGGCTCAAACTATATCCCAACTCTCTCTCCAAGACAGGGTTTTTCACAGTATCGACAAACTCTCTGGACACCAATGCAGAAACACTGTGATGGATAAGAATGACGCACTTTACTTTAGGTAACACTGGCTTAGTCAAGTAAGTTACAAGCTACCAAATTGAAAGTCAGTCAATAAAGTCATTGAAGACTTGACTCAAGAGTTGTTAGACTGAACCAATGAAATGATGTTGATGGGAGAGAAACAATTTCCTTTGATTCCTGGCTATGAGAGGTGCTTCTGGAACTGTTTTGCTGTTGAAAATGTTCACTTTGCAACAAGGTACTGCAACAAACCTGCCCATTTCCAGTGATCAAAATGCGAAATCTCTGGCAAGTGGCACTAGAAGAGATTCCTCATCACACTGATTTACAGCAAGTCCCACAAAAAAAGAGTGCGAGACTCAGTCATCCAACCTCAGTATCATTTTTAGACCTTTCAAAGGGAAAAGACAGGCAGCATAAGCAAATGATGGACAAGTTAATTCTAAGTAACTCTGCTTTTGTGGAAGGCTCTCAGGGTCCTGTAATTGCTTTCATTCTGATGAAATGGGAAAATGCTACAAAGATTGATTCATAAGAAGGCTTATACAATTTGCTAGTTGTATTGCCAATCACGGGAAATTATTCCTCCCCAGCCATATGATTTATGACACTGAGAAAACTTTTTAGCCTGCCTGGTCACCACTGGGACAAAACCATCACCATCCAACTGCACCTTGTGAGAACATCATTCACTCAAACATTTGAACTGGTTAGTTTACCTGGAGTAAATTCAGCTGCACAGTCTTTGGAGATCCGCTTCCATTCTGGAGGTTAGAGTTGCAATCTTCAGAAATAAAAATACCTTAAAACTGTACTAACTCCCTACAGAATAAATCATTGCTATTTATTAAGATTTCTCTAGGACAACTAGCAGGAAAAGAAAGTTAATTCCTAATTTGACAAAGTAAAGATGCAAAATATCATTTGCACCAGCTGTACCTATAATTCCCCGTGTCTGCAGCTTACAAAGGCGAGCTACATCTTTATATTTAACAGCAACACTAAGGCATATTAGCATCATCACCTGCCACACAGCAGCCACATCTGATGCAGCTCTTAGCAGATGACAGAAATACTAGTAAGATTCAGGAGGATGGACTGCAAACTAGAACTAAATCATTCAACACCTGAGGTTAGCCGAACACTTACAGAAATGAAAAAATAATGCACTTCACAGCTCCTCTGTGTATTTCTCTTCAGGCTTACTTCCCTTGTTTTATAACTCCAGATAAAAAATAAAGGTTTTGCTTGGGAAAGGGCAGAAGGACAATAGAGAACAAAGGAAAAAAAGTTAAATAAATAAATAAATAAATAAATAAATAAAATTGCATTCCCAACTTCAAGAACTGTAACTAAAACAAAGCACTGGCACTTAGCAGATCTTTTTCTGCAAAATGATTTGATAGTCTTTTGTCTATAACTTACATAGAAATTTTGTGAAGAAATCCTTTTGAAGTCTTCTCGGCCACCCTCCTCCCCCCCTTTTAATGCACCTCTTTTCTTCTTCCTTTGCAGGAATAATATGGAAAATAAAACAGGAACTACAGCCTTGTCAGAGCAGAACAGCCAGCTCTTCTGGATTAATATTTACCTTCATAATCTAAAAAGTTTAACCAGATAGATGACAACAATGGTTCATTTTAATGACTGCAGAAGCACAGTTTAATGACAACAGCTCATCAGTTCCATTCTTAACATTTTTCTATAACTGTTTAAATTACTCATCTGTGCTACAATAAACAAAAAATGACAATTAATACAGTAGATAGGGACCAATGTATATACATTAAACTCCCAGTTACCAAACCAGAACTTTGTGAAATGCTAAAAACCACTATTTATTCTATTTTTAACTGCTATATCGCACACAGAAAGAGCTTTGGATTTGTAAAGCTGCTAACAATTCTCTGAGACCTACACATGTATTACATATTTTTATCTATGCACATCTCACTTAACAAGGCTGCATTAAATAGATCTTCTGTACCTGCAATACAGTATCAAATGTAACAACTGTGATTATATGAAACCACACATTTTAGAATGTGTTTTTAATTATCTGATTTAAAAACAATTAAATATATATTTTTAAAATGTACACACTTATGTAGACAACAACTCCATTGGTGAACAGAGACATAAAATGACCATGTGAGGCCCACAATATTCGTTTCAGTATTTTCTAATTATTTGTGGCTCAAGAAGTCCAAGGTGGCCTGGTAAGACGTGCACTTTCCCATTACATCTCAGGAGCAATATTAAACATTGCTCAAATAAGAGCCACATATCACTGTTCTGCTTTCTGTATTTCCACTCAGACTTTCTACACTAAAGCTGTATGGGATTGTACAAGTGTATCAAGACACTGACATTTTTGATCTTTAATATAATGATACACAACGTGCATCTTTTAAAAAGAAAACAGAAGTGAAGAAAATTGTATACCAGGTGCATTTAAACAACTGTATCTGTTCAACATTACAAAGCCACAAACCCATTTTACTGTTATATTTACACTCAAAAACTTTCAACTATTTCACAACCATACAACTACTTACATTTAAAAACTGATAAAAACAGGAAAACATTTTTAGAAAGCCATGTGTTCTGTCAGGTTTTGTTCAGTTACTACTGGAATGCAGTTGCTCATTGACTATTTTGAGAAACGAATATCAGAACAGAAATAATCAAACATAAGTAAGCAAAAAACTAAATAGCTTACAGGGATGATGAACAGACTTCCAGTACACAGGATCAGAAGCAGCAGGAACCCGAAACATTAAGGAACTAGAAAATTCTACTTAATGCATAAGTGAATCCCTGATCAAATGCATAAAAATACAGGTGATAACTTTTGTAGCTCTCCTGTACGTCTAGGGGTTGTTAGTGTCACTTAGCACAACGTCAGAACTAGCAGTTTGCCATGGATATGTAGCATTAAACAAACAACAATCACTAGAAATACTGTGAAAGCTAGTTCAGAAAACAATACTGGCAGGGTCACTAAACTCTCAGCGAGTGAGAATCAGGGTGTTAATTCTGTTTGCTAATATGTGACAAGCAGTGCACAAACACTTGGCCGCTAGCTGGTGTGCAGGGAGCACAGTCCTCATCTGCTCCAATCTCTCTTAATATATGTAAGGCCTTACAGCTACAGACAGGAAACTGCAGAAGCCCAAAGGAAGCACTGCTGTTCTCCAAACCCCAAATCAAGACCCCACTTTTCTACATTTAACTGGATGACTTCAGTAAAGAACCACCGTATTGCGATGACTTTAAACGGTAGGAAAGTAACAGTGTAAAGTTTAAGAAATAAAAAAAGTGCTGAAAGCTGTGATGTCAAAATAATGCAATTTTAGGCACTTGTGAGAAAAAATTGTACAGTTCATTCTTAGTGCATCTCACCAGTGTATTCCTGCACAAACTACAAAAGCTGATTACTGTGCCTCCACTGTGTCTAAGAAAGGATTCAACTACAGGCAGCTTAGAAGTTCACTTCCTAGTAACTGGTATTATGCCACCATTATTGGCAGACATTTTAAAGAAAGAGAAGTTACAATGTCATTGGAAAGCCCTCAGTATTTCAACAGTTACTGGTAATTCCTGGAGGAAAGCCAAAAATTAGTGGTTCATTTTTTATTTTTTTTTTTCCCTCTAGAGATCTCAGATCGAATCTAAACACTGTTAAAAAATGGTGACATAACCTTCACAAACAACATCTCCAGACTAAGTTAGAGAGCCTGTAAAAGAACACCCGGGAATACTTCTGCACCCAATGCTGAACATGCTTCCAAATGATCAAGTTCACATGCAAGGTAAAACGAAGTAAATGTTCTTTGAAACAAAGGCCAGGAAATCAACTCATTTAGCAATAATTTACCATCTGTCCCAACAAATGGAAATAAATGACATTTTAAAATTTGCATTAGATGCCACTCCATCGGACAGATGGACAAATGACTGCACTAGAGTCGTACATTTTCAAGCAATCAGTTTAGAAGACTTCCCCAATACAGTACCTGCTGTGAACTTGACCTCTTCCATCTCTAAGCCACTACAGAAAAAGGTAAATCCTATTTGTAAACCGAAACTGCAAATGTCAAAAATAAGGATTTAGGACTAAATATTCTCAGCCTTGAGTCAAATGAGCTCTTGTTTCATGACAGAGCAAATAAGGCTCTAACAGAACACAGCACTTTCCTTTGACTCCTTCAGAGCCATTCCAGCATTTACAACAATACCATAACTACATAGAAATTCTTCCACAGAAATGACTTGTTAGGATGCATCAATATTTCTGTAACTTTTATACTGATGAATTCTAAAATCTAATTCTAAAATCTGCATCAAATAGAAGCCAGCTAGACGGCTCAGAGACAGGACAAGCTACAGCAACTATTTTCCCCCTAAAAAACATGCAAACAAGTTGCAAGTATCTGATACTTATTGGGCCCAACAATCTCCCAGTTTCTACAGTAACACTTCTTTAAAAACAAATCAACAAAAAGTTGAAATCGTATTGCCTAGATTTCTTTCCACCTAGCAAAACACAGAAAACACCTACAGCAAACATACCACCAACACAATAAATAAAATGACTGTGTGTGTCATCTCCTTTCATATAATTCCAAACCAGTGTAGAAACAGCATCTGACTCCATCTTTTTTCCTGTATAACACAAAGAGATGCCACTGGCTGTCAGAATCACCGTTAAGGTATTTACCTATTACACACAGTTTAGTGGCTGACAGAAATGCCCACGTGTAGGATCCCTGAGTGCTTCAAAAGCAAAAGAAATAAACAAAAAACCACCCCAACAACCAAAAAGCAAATTTCTATAGAGAAGATAAATTGAAAGCTCCAGGATATTATACATACATGACAATAAAGTCATTATAGATTCTTTTTGCTATTAAGTACACTGAGGCTGTGTCTTTGAAGAAAGCAAGTTTTACAAAATATAAAGGGTATTCAAGGGGGGTGAGGGCAGAAGCAAGGAGAATAAGTCACTTGCTGCAGCTGAGGATACAGAGCGTTCCATCTCCATTCATGGCACTGCCAACGAGTTCCTAAAGCCTTGCTCAGACAACAGAAAAATTGAAGGCAGTAAGGGGAAGTTTCTAAATGGCCTTGTCAGAGAATTAAGTTGATTCTTGTCTTCTTCTGTAAATTAAAACATAGCAGAAACCCAAATATATTGCTTTCTGTGTACCAGAAAAACATCACCCTCCTATGAAAATAACCAATCATTAAACTAGTGGTTCAAACTTTCAAGTTATTACCCTCCAGCACTAAAAGGACACAACAAGTGAAGGTATCTTACAAAAGCAGAGAATTCCAATTGAAAAAAAAAAAATCAAAAATAAACAAAAACTATTGCAATACAGATTTAAATAACCACATTTTAATCCATAGCAGGTAAATGCTGTTAGTACGTGGGGAAGATGGCGTTTCCACCTTTACTAACAAATCTTTTAAATCTATATAGTCCAGAAATGAAAAGTAACTTTTCCCTTGAAAAATGGCATATTTTATTAAATCTATGTAAGTAATCCATATCTAAATAGTAGGCTGTATACTAGAAATTACAATTTTGTCCAGTGAAAGTATTTTTATTAAGAAAGGCTATATAGAATAAAAACACAGTTTTGGGTGTTTCCCTGTCCAAACTGCAAAACCAAATGCTCTTCCTTTACAAAAGCTAACGGCATTTTCATTTAGGCACATCCAGGCAAATGTTACAAGTCAGGAACGACACTTCCTCCACGTGATAGGAACGCCAGCAAATGGGATGGCTAAAAATCCATTTTACAGAGTCTGTAGGTAAAGGTGGTGTAAGAATTTTATCTTCCAGTCTGTAATCTTTTCTAGGATGAAAATGGGGACTTCTTGTATACCAAGGTTTCAGACTCAAGGAGACAACAGATGTGAAAAATTTCTTCTCACAGAATGCAACCTTGATTCCTAAAGAGAGAGGAAAAATGCTGTGTTGTTTCCTCTAGTTTGAGCTGTGTCTGAATTATTACATTAATAATGCTCTAACAAAAAATAACTGTGCATTTTGATATTGCATCAGCAAGACAGATGTGGTTCAAGAAGGAAAGACAGACTTCTATTAAGTACACAGGTGAAGCTGACAGTGGCAAAAAGAACCTTCACTTGTGTATAAGAACATTAAATGAGTTCAGGTTTAATTTACCTAGAAGTTTTGTTCACTGATCATTTAGCCTTAGTGAAGTATTTTTATAATGTTATCATGCAAAACCACATAGCAGATTCTATATATGTATTCTCTATAAAAGCTCAAAACTCAGCTTAGCATTAGGTATTCCTAAGAACTGTTTTAATTTTAGATGTTATATAAATATATAATCTGACACCTGAATGCTTCAACGTAGCTCTCTGCAGCCAATCTTTGTACCTTTCTTTTGTTATTCAACTATTAACATTGTCCTCTCCCTTCAAGCTCTGTCAGTTTCCTAACACTATCAGCTAATACTGTACTTCTTACATTCCTATTAGGATATCCAATCAACCTGAACCTCAAGATTTCAGTTTATTACCATCTACTCAATCCAAACCATCTTGTGGACTTCCATCCCAAATTTCTAGGCTCACATGCTGTCTAGTGCCAGCCTTCATCTAGAACCCATTTTAATCTTCCTTATGTCAGCAGAATTTCAGTTCCAAATATTTTTCACTCTTTCTTTAGCTTTGACTCCTATAAAAATATGGATGGCACAAAATGTTTTCTCCTCTGTACTGCCATGTCCCAATGTGATGGTGAAGACTTAATTTCACACTGGTGGGACTTTTAAAAGTCATATCCGGGGACAAATTTTACAGACACTTAAGCAGACAAAAAGTCACATTCTAAGCACACACCAAACCCCTGCTATGTACTGTGGAGCTGTTAAAAGGCTATCACATAACAAACCAAAATAAATTACTTTAACATGTGTAAAACATATATTTTTCCCTAACTTCATCTTATTAAAATACTCCATTTTTGAAGAGAAGTAAACAACTCAAAGCAGCACCTTTTTCACAGAAGAACTATGGTTGAGCACTTGCCACAGAGTGTAACTCCATGAATACAAATCACCATGTATCACAAAATAAAAAGAGGGAGGGAAGAAACTACAGTGCTAATAATGGAAACTTAAACAGTTTCATGAACAAAAATCATGTACCGAAGAACTAAGAACTGTCCTTGTTGGTAAAGGAAAAGCAACCCACACATGCACTGAACTTGGAAAGTTGAGCAAAGAAAATAACTGTGGAGTGAATATACACACAACTATCCCAGGAATTAATTACACAAATTACGTTATGTCTGTTTTACATAAATATCAGAACATTTACAAATAGGCAAAAAGCAGTTAAGTAGTACCGCAGATTATGTTACATTCTCCCTTAGCAGGTTTTATTGTTTAGCTATTTGTAAATATCAAGTATTGCAATGGAACAACTGACCCTAAGCTTCACAACAGGCAGCTGCTAGCTGGTATGTTGATGATCTCAGCCACACTGGAAGGACTGGACAAGAAAATCAGAACAGGTACACTAAAGCTGCCCAAAGTGCTTAATAGTGAATGCTCCACACTGCCTGTAAAGAGAGACAGAGAGAGAGAAAGTAAGATCAGAAAAAGCAAAATAAACCACTAAACTAGAGTAAGAACAACCTATTAGAAAAATACAAGCTAATTGAAAGAACACAGCAGGAAATAATGTGAGACAAAGCATGCCATCTGCAACTTGCTATGTTAATATAAAATTAACGAATATGGTTTTGGTGGCGTTCAACCTATCCCTGTGAGGAGCAATAGATCATGCCACAGTTGGTGACAAACCTCTCATTAATTGTGCATGAGACAAACCTCTCATTAATTGTGCATGAGGACAACTTCTGTGTTATTCATGCTTCTGAGACTTAGGGAACTTAAAACAAAAGCTTTAGTCTACCTTAATTACACTACAATTTACTTAATTAATTAATTTACTAATGAAAAAAAGCTTAATGGACTGAAAACATGCTTTAAGGTTATATTTTGTTGTTGCTGTTCCAGATGGAATGCCCTAAGTGCACAGGTCCACATAATACAAAATTACTATACTTTTCCCAAAATGATTACACTAAGACTTCCACTTTAAAAGGTAACTTAGGTATAAATATGCATACATATATACAACTATATGCTTATATAAACATACAGATATTTACGTGCATTATATGCACACTTAAAATACATTCAAGCTTATTACTGCAAAGAAAAATGAAGTGCTCTAAGTTCAATTAAATTTACAGAACCATCAGTATCTGAGGCTGAGGCATTAGCATCCTGCACCAAGAAAACCAGAAGGTGTATGTGCACAGAAGTTTGCTTACACACCAAACGAATGCCCTAAATTCTGTTCTCACATTGGAAGATCTTTCTTTGGTTTTTGAGTTAGAGGCAATGCAATTACCTGCAACATCCAAGTGAACAATCTTCGATGTTTCTAAAAACATTTTCTTACAGCAAATATAAAATCTCATTGAAAAGCTATTGAAATGACTGTGGAGAGTAAAGAACAAAGTGGTGACAAAAACCAAACACACAAATCTGAAAACCAAATTGTTTTTCTGCTCTTGGCAGGTTCTTGATTCAAAAGCCAGCAAACAGCACATTCAGGAAAAAAAAAAACCAAACCAATAAAACAAACAAAAACCCCTATGTTCCTACTTTTGTACCCTTCTATGAATTTCTGCAAGATTTTCTGAAGGCTGAGCTTAAAATTAATTAATACCAAAGCTCAGTGCTCCATTCCAGTGCCCAGCACTTTCAGTTTCCAACAACGAGATCAGGGAAGACCAGCTGGCCATTAGCTAAAACTGTGAGGATAGACATAGAGGTGAAGTAGATCAATTTATGTCCCCTTACAGGACACTTCCAAGAGATAAAGTGTCAATATATATATTGACAATATATATATTGATAAATAAAAGAGATTTATAAAATAAATAATATTTATTTAATATTATAAAGAGAAAATAAAAAAGAGATAATAAAAGAGAAAGCCTCTTAAGGCCCTAAAACATCTCCCACAGGAAGACACCGTATCATTACGCACTTTCAATGTTGGCCAAAATGTTCCACTGGATAAAAATCATAGGGACAGCAAAGATACACCCCTACAAAGTTCACAACAGTTGGAAAAAATGACTGAGAAGAAATAAAAGCATGAAATAAATTTACTAAACCCATTCACCTACCCACCCCCACATGGCACAACTTTTTTTGTACCTACCCTTGGTTTTTGTAGACAAAACAACCAGCTCCCTGTGCCTCATGAGTTTCCCTCAAAGTAATTTGCCCTGGTCTAGAACCAGAAGAACTTCAGTCTTCCCTTACTGTTACCATAGACTACACAGATCTCTCTCCCAAAGACAATTCCCTATCTGCCCTCTAGATGCAATCAAGCACTAATCCCCTTATTACAAGAGGTAATACAAGATCTACAGAGAGAAAAGATGATCAAGGGGAGGCTACTAGTATACTATACTCAAACTGAATATTGGTATTAAACAACAAATTTGGATCCAATTATCATTTACTTTCAGAAATTGGGCAGTTTTATTCTAGCTTTAAGAGCATTACAAACTCTGTACCAAGAAAGTGACGTTGGGAAAATACTATGTAAATATTATTTGTCACAATAGAGAAAATGAAGAACAAATTGAAGCATCGTCAGAGCTGAAGCTTTGTTGACTGTTAAACAAATGCTCTACAAGACGAATGAACAGAGTTCTTATACATTCACAACAGCAATGGAAACACTGGCTCAGAAGTGCATGACTTTCTTCCTTGGTAAATATTTCATAGGTTTTGGTTGTTCACCTTTGTGGCTTCATTAAAATATGACTGCAGTGCACATTCTCTCAAGCTACATCTGAAAGTACTATGTTAGCAGTGCCAAAACTATCCAGACAGCTATCCAGACAGGGTCTGTTAGCCACTCTCACCATGTGACTTAAAGCTCCTAGCAGAACTAATATTAAAGCATATGTTTAATCCTAACAGAATTCCTATTGCACTGGAGACAATTACTTTCAATACAATGCCTGTATTTTAGAACGTGCTACCTCTTGCAAGGCCACTACTTGTTATTTTTCAAGCAAAGATACATTTGTTGGTATAGTTTACCAAGAATGCAGTCAGCAGGCAATATTTTTCTGCAGCTGTGAAGCAGGTGGTAACGATGCAACCACTCGCTTAATACACACCAGCCTGCTCTCAACATTTGCTCTTTTATTTCCAATCTCTGTTGAGTGTCCAGCCATCGAGACAGACAACACCAGCTGATACATGCATAGCATATTCAAAACTATGTGAAAAGTTAAAGTGAATGGAGAATTGTGTTCCAGAACTGTTAGTTACTAAATATAGCTAAAAACCAAACAAGAAATTAAGAACTGCCTGGAATGATTTGACATGATCCCATAATAAATAAAATCATCAGAATTCTACCAGTCATTAGAAGGTTCTGAAGATATTTGTGAAGCTGTTTGAAACCTGAATAGAACTTAGTTTCAGTTACAGTCTCTAATGGAAAAATTCTGAGAAAACAGGTGAGATTGAGCAACAAATACAATGAAGGAATGGACAGCATTAGTCGCTCCAAGCTTAATCAAGCTTCAGTCTGCACTGCTAACACAACTACTTGCTCCACCCTGACCCAAACTTCCAGTGTAAGTAGAAGAGCTTGTGCAATTGCCTGACAAAAATGGTCTGAGAAATTAACACAAGTTTAAGCTAATGCATTCTGTGTAGTGGGAATGAAGAATCATATTTAATAACATCAGTTCCCGGACCTGTTTTAACACACTGCCACACAAAAACTTGTACCAGCACAGGAAATGGGTGATATGGAAAAAAGATTGAGTTCCTGGGTTACACCAGCTTCAGCTGTGCACGAAATTACTGCTAAAGCTGTGAAAAGAGACATATGTAACACTGCTTCACAAGATAAATGAGTATGAGCTCATTTCCTATGCCACAGTAACTGTTCAAACACACTTTACCACGCACAGACATACCCTATGGTCAATTAACACGTCATCACTTACTGCTAAGTAAACAGCTTCACCATAAAGAAAAGCCTTGGTACCATGCTAATTACTGTGCAAGAGAAAGAGCTACCCCGTGCTACAGATGCATCTTGCAATTTACTTCACACTACTTTGCTCCTTAGGGCTAGGAGAAACAGTAAGTCAGGTACCAAGGAAAAAACCTCCTTCTGTGTTTGATACAGTAAGAATGATTTGTTTTTTACTCTGAGAGTACTGATATCAATTTTTTTCTTTGTTTTAGTGTCTTAATATGATGAGAAAATGGAATGTAAACTGAATATTATAGTCACTGTGTTATGCCCACTTCCATTAAGTGTCTAAGTGTATGAACTACTCAGCATTACTATTCCTGAGTTCATATCCAGCTTGTATTTTCTTTTTTCAGTTGGAGTAATTACATTTTATTTCCAAACAACTCTTAATGTTACAGCCCCCTCTACTGGCTATTTTAGTAGATACTGTTACACAGTGGTCTGGGAAAAGATTATTCTCAAGAGAAACCTAAAACAATAGAGATGCGAGCTTTGGAGTAGTCCCTATTCATTGTTATTTGTAGCTGGAGCAAGTAAATTCACTGAATAAACACTGCCATATCAAGTAAACCAACTAAGACACTTAATCCCCTCTTACGATGCGAGATCTAAGCTAGATTCAATTTCACAACTTTTGATATCATCCTTAGTGCTGCTCCGGAAGTTATGCCTCCTGTTTTATTACACTGGCCCACAACATCAGAGGTAGATGTTGTCTGGCAGTAGGGGCTGGACCTTCCCACCAGTATTCCATTACATTTTATTGCTCTGTGACACATGACAGCAAAGGGGCAGTCTGACAAAGTGGTGCCTGACAAGAAGAGTGTATGAAGCAGAAGTAAATTACTGAATTCCTCCTCTTGGAATAAAATGGCAACAACACTCATCAATACTTGCTGAACATGTAAGGAGACCAAATAATGGATGTGAGAGGTAGGCAGTGCATGTCAGTAGTGGCAACAGCTGCTGATGCAGAATTTTTACATGGGACACACACGCTCTCGTCCATCACTAGAAAAAAAAGGATCCCTAACTGTCATAGAACTGTAGGATGGATTGGGTTGGAAGGGACCATAAAGATTATCTAGTCCCAGCTAGTTTCCTGCCACAGGCACGGCTGTCAACCTCTAAATCAGGTACAATATCACACTGTCCAGTCTTATCCAACCTGGTCATGAACATCTCCAGGGAAAAGGCATTCATAACTTCCCTCAGCAGCCTGTTCCAGCATCTCATCCTTCTTTCAGTGGAAAATTTCACTCTCACATCAAATCTAAATTCCCCTTCTTTTAGCTTAAAGCCATTCTCTTATGTCCCTTTGCTACCTACTCCTTTCTGCACATAAGCTCTCTTCAAGCTCAGGAAAGTTGCCATGACATTTCCCCTGAGCCTTCTCTTAATGAAGCTCAACAAGCCCAGCTCCCCCAGCCTGTCTTCACAGGAGAGGTGCTTCAGCCCTCTGATCATCTTCATGGTCCTTGTCGGGTCCCACCACAAAAGCTCCGCATCCTTGTCATGTTTGAGGTGCCAGACCTGGATGCAGTATTCCAGATGGAGCCTCGTAAGCACAGAGCAGAGGGGGACAATCCCTTGCCCTGGTGGCCTCCTCTCATTTAATGCAAGCCAGGATGCAGCTGGTCCTCTGAGTCACAAGCACACACTGCTGGCTCATGTTATGTGTTTAATTTACCAGGACCCCCAATCCTTCCTGATGATGGTACCCTTAAAGGAGTTCTCCCAGAGTGTACTCATACTTGGGATTGCCCTGACCCAAGTGCAACACAATATACCTGGCCTTGCTTAACCTCATTAGGTTTACATGGACTGTTTTCAGGCTCGCTCAGGTCCCCCCGGATAGCATCTCTTCCTTCTGTTGAACTAAACCAATCCCTCAGCCTGGTGTTTTCTGCAGACTCGCTGAGGGTGCACTTGATTCCATCATCTAGTCAAGATGGAACCCTGGGGGAAACCACCCAACGTTGGCCTCCACCTGGACATAGAGCCATTGACCACAACACTCCTGCTGTGACCTTCCATCCAATTCTTATCCAAAAAATAGTCCACTCTTCTAACACATCTCTCTTCGATTTTAGAGATAAAGATGTTGAGTAGGACCATGTCAAAGGCCTTGCAGAAATCCAGGTATACCATACCAGTTACCATTTCTTTGCTCACTAGTGCAGTCACTCCATCGTAGGCGGCTTTGTTCAGCCACAATCTGCCCCTGGTGAAACAGTACTGGCTGTCTCAGATCACCTCTGTGCCTTAACACGTCTTCCAGGAGGATGTGTTCCACGATCTTTTCAGGCACAAAGGTGAGGCTCACTACTGTAGCTCCACATCTTCCTTTCTCCCTTTCTTAGAAGTGGGAGTAGCATTTCCCTTTTTCCAGTCACCAGGGACTTCACCTGACAGTCGTGACTTTTCACATATGATGGAGAGCTGCTAGGCAATCACACCAGCCAGCTCCTTCAGGACTCAGGGATGCATGTCATTTGGCCCCATAGACTAATACACATTCAGTCTCATGAGATGGTCTCAGACTTGCTTTTCTCTTGACAGTTGCTACCCCAGCCTCAACTTACTGGTTCAAGGATACAAGGTTCAGGAATGTGAGATAAATGATAAGTGTGGCTGCCAGTGAAGACTGAGACAAAGAACTCAGTGAGTACCTTTTCTACACGTGCTGTAGCAACATAGTGACTAAGTTGAAAAACAGTGCTTAGTAGCTGAAAATTTGCTCCATCAAATAATAACATTGTGGTCCTTGTATCTGTTGCAGTTTCCATGGAAATAATTAGCAGACATTCCTCTCAGAGCAACCCACGTAATTTAGGCAAAAGGTTCTCAAATCGACGCTCAAGCAAAACCTTGTATTAGGTGACATAGAAAAATCACTTTTTAGAATGCCCGTTCAGAACCAGAACTGCAGAGTAGACACGTGTAGGTGATCAATCTAAACAGTTTTGCATCCTGTTCTAAAACTCCACCTTGCCATAACAAGAGGTGCTTGCCTAACACTGTAAGAAATGACTTCAGTTTCTCAAGACAGGGACAAAGAATTCACAACAACAATTTTCTCTCAAAATATACCTTCATTTGCAGTTCTCTAATTCAAGTATCACAATAACTAGTCTTTTTCTCTTTTAATTTCCATAAGCTGTTTAAAAAAAAATAATAATAAAAAAAGAGTGATCTCTATGCCCAACCTCCAGCTCTATCTAAATCTGTAATAGATATCTAGATATCTAGATAGATATCTCTATCTATCTATAATCTCTATCTAAGAAAGTCTCATGTGAAGAAAAAAAATCACTTTCTCTGAAGCATTACCATTTTCCTTAATTATTAACCTATTAATAAAAGACTCTGATCCTTTCCCCTCTTCCTGACCCCCTTCCAAAGACTACCATGCTTACTTTAACTTGCTTAGTTTGACTCACAGGTGCAGGCATGGCTACAGCACTCTGGGCAAAAGGCTGGTGAGGGGTTGCTTGAACTCCATGATCAGAAAACGGCTGGAATAAAGAAGAAAGAAAAAAAAAAAAAACAAACAGAAGTGAGCAGAAAAGTATGTATTTTTTTATTCCTGGAAAACTTCCACACTAATTTAGACCCCTTAACACTTCTAACTGTGGTCTAACATAACCACACAAACCATGAACAACTGTTTAGAAACTGAAAACTCAATATTTAAACTTAAGTCTTCCTCGTTGTATCAAAGTTCAGTAAATACAATTTATTTAGATCACTGTCATGTCTTCATCTCTAAGTTACTTTACTTAGATAAGTGCCAGAAAGCACTTCTGCAGTACAAATCCAGTTCACTCAGCTCTAACTGGAACCAAGTTTAAGTGTGCAGATTAGCAAAGTGTAATAGTGTGGGAATTCTGTTTCAGACTATTTACACTTAAATAACACAAAGGCCTCTCTTCGAATTTTACGTTGTTTTCTGCATTTCCGCATAATGCTTCTTTTAAAACTAGCAAACGATACACCTGTGAACTAAGAGCACGATACAGCCAAATGTTTCTCAACTAATTTCATGTTTTTCTGCTTATTGTTCCTATACTCTAAATTTCTTTCTATAAGATCTATCTGATTATATCTGATTTATGAAATACAAGAGCTAAAACAACAACAGTGAGATTCCTGACTATACACTTAATACTGACATTCATGCATTTTATAAAGGCAAAAAACCCCAACAACCCAAGCCTTGTTTTATTCACAAAGAATTTTTGAAGGGAAATCATGTGTGCCACGATTTCTCACCAAAGATGTATGGAGTATCAGTTGTGGAACTTTTCTCTTGTAGTAATAAAATTCTCCTCAACTTTTAAAAAAATACTTGATTACTGCCCTAATTTACCATTTACTCTGATATCCCTGTTAAGGAGAACTGAATTAACAAAGCAGAAGAATAGCCATTATTTGTAACACATGTTCAATTCTTTAAAATAAGACTTTCTGTAGCCAATTACTGTCATTTTTCATACCCAATCATAAACAGCCTTATTGTATGTAAGTAACCTCTTGGAATTGGAACAGCTATTGATACAGAAGCAAGAAAAGCATAGCAAGGAAGAGCAGAAGAAACTGAGGTCACTCAACTACTCTTAATCCACCCCAGCCTCCAGAATATTCAGGAACTAGCCTGAATAGTACTTACATGGAAAAAGTATGTAACAAAATTGACATTGTTTGAGTAGTTTAATTCAGCATTGTGATGGACTCCTGTTTTGTTTTTTATTTTCAAATAAAATGGCTTGACTATCCCTTATACTGCTGTTTGTCAGATACCCTGTAACCTTCTAAGGTACTCCAGAATTAAGGCATCCTCCTAGAAAATGGAAGAGATACTCTGACCATAAGACAACTCAAACCAATTAGCAGAGCAGCAGCACAGGTTTGGGGGACACTAGACAAACAATTGACCCAAGTGCTCTGAACTACCTGTGCTGAAACTGAAGTGTGTTTTTCAACTGCAGATAAATGCTATGACTAAGAATAAAATTGTTCATAGAAATACCTCAGGAACTGCAGCTTCCACTAGAAGGAAAGGAGAAGGTACGCAACCACCTTCCTGGGCAATCCCTACCGGCTGATAAATAACTTCAGATGGGTGCAGATAAAACAACGAAGGCGAAGAGGTTGGAGACTGAAATAAAACACAATGCTTCCATACATCATTTAATTCTTGCACTATATCTAGCAAATCTGGCTTTACTGTCATCTTCGCTACATATAAACAAGTTAAAGTTAGAAGTTAAAACTTTTAATGAAAGTGTCAAATTCAGCTCTGCTAATTTAAGGAAACCAGCTGATGGGGAGTACTTAGTGAAGCTGGATAGCAGGAAAAAAGAAAAATGTCCTTTAAGCTCTTCTTAAAAAGTTTACCATATTTCATTTAGATTTTCCAAAACACTGCTGGAAAAATCCTAAGCTCTATAGAACAGACACTGTCAAAATCACATAGTACAGTTCACTGAACCATAAAATGGCCTAGGCTGGAAGGGACCTCAAGGATCATTGAGCTCCAACATCCCTGCCGCAGGCAGGGCCACCAGCCTCCATATGTAAAACTAGACCAGTTGTAATTCTCTTGCAGAGAGTTAAATAAAAAATACATTTTCTCTTAAAATACAAACCATAATAATTTGAATGCTTAAGTTTACCCATGTCTATGCACTGAAAGCACTAAACTCCCAACACATCTTTGGTTTAGTCAGCTAGCTATCTGAACAGACCTTGCATTTTCTCTCTTTACACTAAGAGAGAAGATCCCTAGACAAGTCAGTCAGTCCGTTATCTTGGAAGAGCTAAGCCTGCAGTCTAAGTGCAGGACTGCCTGATCCCATTGCTCAAGAGAAGTACCCTACCCTTTGTTGGCAGCAGGTGCTACCAAAAAGGGATCCAAAATTTAGAACTATGTAACTCATAATTGATGCAAATCAAACCTAACAATTTGGCACTTAAATTTCCAAGCAGCCAACTGATACTCACAGTGGAGTAATAAGAACATGAAGAACATAATAAGAATGTGACTGGCCAGTACTGAAGTTATAAAGACACATTTTAATAGTTCAACAGTCCTGGTTATTCTTTTAGCTTTAAATTCTAAATTCCCTCAGCGACAAAGTTTCCATATTAAGAGCCTCTGCTACACAGATCAGAAAATTGTGAAGTATATCCCCCTTTCTCCTGCTTCAAGGGCCTGGGTCTAATTTTGCCATACTTGCATGCTTACCAGCTTCTACTACTACTAAACTAGTAAAATGTCAGTTATTACCAGGTAATGAGCTAGTTAATATTCATTTCTCCTATCAGGCACAATGTAGTAGTTTAGACACACTTCTGAAAGTCTCTTTGATAAAGTAATAAAAACCCCTTGCCAAAGGAAGAAGGGAAAATGCCTTCCTTAAAAGAAGTTTACATTTTACATTTCAATAAATGCCACATTTTGTCTTCTATCCTACTAGTGTTGCAGATTAATTGATAAAATATAGCTATTTATTTCAGCAGTGCTACAATTAGTAATTTTTGCATTTGATTTGCAAACAAACTTAAGAGCACTTGATAAGCACACCCTGCTTTTAAACTAACTGGAAACTAAGGGTAAAATACTAGAACTACAAATGGTGTTTACCTGTGAAACAGACCACTGCCACTGACCTGGAAGACACTGCGTTGGTGCCTAAATTCAAGGACACAAGAAAGATATTACTTACATAATTAAAAACATATGTGAAGACATACACCTTTCTCATGTATTAGAACCAAAAATATCCCAAATCTTCATTATCATGTTCATTAAAAGGAACAAATATGATTTACATAAACCCTCAATTCAAGAATTTTGTCTACTACCACTCAGCTGGGCATCTCATAATAATGAATAATGAAGCATCTAAGAAATGTGATTACTTAAAAAAAGACACCCAATACAGCCAACTTTCCAGCATACAAGACAAACTGCCTAAGCTCAGCAGTGGGCTACCAAGCTGGTTAAGGGACTGTAAAATAGACATATCAGGTTAACAACTGAAATGGCTTTGCTAAACCTTATAAAGGAGTCATGATGTAATTACTACTGGCTACAACTACATATTGGGAGGGTATAAATATGAGTAAGTCAGACTCAAAGGTATTCAGAGCACAAGAGCTGACAAACACGTATTAGAACTCTAAAAATTATCCTATACAAGAATAAAAATATGCAATAAAAAAAGCCCCTGGATGATCTCCACCTAACCATTACTGCTTTGAGCAGGAATTTGGCTTAGAACAATTAAAAGATCATTAAGAATGATACTAAGCCAGTTTTCTAGCAACCAAGAAGATTCCAATTTATTCAATTTCCATGTAATTAAATAGGAAGGTAGAAACTGTACTCTATGGGCAGGGGGAGAAAAAAGTCTTCAATGAAATTGAAATCTGTTTCACCGAATTGTTTCTTATTTTTCAAGAATAAACAGAACAGACTGTGCTGCAAACAAAATTGCACAGCTGACTGAAAAGAATACTGCTGCTCTGAAACTCATTTACAAACATACCTGATAATGGCAAGTAGGAGGCTGATAAATTGGTTGCGTTACCACCACAGGTGAGCTGGAAACAGTGCGTGACTTGAAAAGACAAAACAGTTACAAGTCAATGCAGCAATTTCATCCTTTGTCGCTTCTGTTAAGACCCAATCTTCAATACTACCTGCAGGATTGTATCTCCTACCCTTTAAAAAATGGACTGACCATATTTTAACATTCATTTAGATTCTTCAAGATCATTACTTGCAAGGGGGCTTACACTACAGATGAAGCGAAAACCTGTCTTGTTATCACAGTAACAAGTGCTTTCTGGAATCGGTTAGGCTCAGCCATTATGTCCTCACTATACGTACATTCCTGTAACAATTTTAGCCAATACAAATTATCAGTGATCTATTCCTATCCTCTCATAGCCCCATCCCATCTTCCATTTTCCAAGTCCTTTCCTTACACCAGCCCCAGCACTCATCTGGTCGGGTGGTGATTCAGTTTAAATAACTAAACTAGCTGGAAACTTGCTTTTGTTTTTTGTAGGGTCAGAAAAACATCAGTGAAAGAAAGGGGTCAATCTCCCCATACCCATTAAAGCCAATTAATGAATCTACTGCATTCTTCCTCCTAAAATAAGCAGCAGCATAATCTCGGACAGACAGAAGGAAAAAAAAAAGGAGTATGGATGGAACAGTGCATAAAATTACTTAAGTTTTAGCATTAAGTTCTCCTTTTATATTCAAAATATTGGCCACTGCAGCCAAGAACACCTCACTCATGGGGCAATAATAAATGAAGCCAAGCATGGATCCCAAGCACCAACAAATCCCCAGTAACAAAACTTCTGGAGCAATGACCACACTGATTCTGAATGAATGCTGTCCCGCTCAGTCACATCAAAGCAAAGCCCTCCCACACAAGAACAATAAACTATAAGAACAATAACCTTAAGTAACGTATTTTTAATCTGAATACAAGGAAACCATTTAAATACCAAAGATACGCTGTAGCTGGAGAAACTGGAAGTAAGAGACTTGGAAACTCTGCGTTCATCACCTCAGTAAAACATACATACAAAAACATCAATTACTTACTGGCCATGGCTGCTGAACAGAAGCAACTTCAGGAGTATGAAAATAAGCCACTCCATTATGGTAAATATAAGGATATCCACTTGAAGTCGTTAAGTACATTGTACCACCTTCTGGTATCACATTAGAACCTGAAATTATTTTTTTAAGATGATTTACTTAACAGTATTTGTTGACCAATGCAAAAGCCATAAAGAAGAAGGAAAGATCATTTCTGATCTTCAGAAACTCAAAACATTCAAAGGAAAGAACATGGGAAAGAGCGTGTCTTGTGCCACCTCAGCTCTCAAACAAAGAATCACAGGCTGGTGCTGGGGTAGATGGGAAGGGGTACAGAAGATAACATGCATATTGATTACTGAACACAGACAACTCCAATTACCAGCAAATAATTTTTTTTATAATCTTCAAATGTCCAAAGGTAACTTCACATTGTGGGAGATTTTCATTGGTAACCTCCACATACTCATATTTAGCTGAAACAGGATCCAAGCACTAAAAACAACAGAAGGATTTCATTATAAAATGCAACCTGATTTCTCAAAGCACAAAAATTGTGTGATGGCACATTTCCTGACAAAAGAAAGAACAGATATCCAGATTTCAGCAACAAGGACACTTCTCAGCAATGTTACCACACTGCACAGGCTACAGTGTTCTAATCCCAAAGCACAGTTCTAGCTGTCCAGCTCCCTAACAGGAACTGACAATAAGCTTTGTTCAATTAAGGAGACTTCCATTCCCAAGCAGAGGTTGCTTATCTTCCTCAATCACTGCTTTTGGGATCACCTGGAGTCTGTTCCTGTCTGCATTTTGTGGGTAGGTAGAAAGAACATCGTGTACAAGACAGGTTTTGGTATGAATTACACACGATGCCAAGGAAAAAAAAAAAACAAAAAAAAAAAAAGTAAAGGAAAAATTATTCCATAACCAAAATGGAAATGCTGAAATCACATTTAACATGCAAAATAAATAAATCAGGAAAAACACAAGATGGAGGGCATCATCCCTTGCGTCTTCCTTGCAAAGGTAACTGCATCTGGAAACACCCTTTTATGGACAGGTACAACGCCGAGGGACTGCCAGAATGATAAGTGGAGACCAAAAAGGACCCAGCTATGATTCAAACTGCCTTTGTAGATGCTAGGAGTTTGGCTGACCCCTTGAAAAACCCGAGGATGCTTGTTTACAACAAAGCTGAAATATTATCCATTGAAATGTCACATGCTAAGTGATTCTTAAGAGAGTTAAACAGATGTGAGAAGAATCAGAGACTACATGAATTCCATTAAGCAACCTAGAAAAGCATTATCTCAAATCTTGTTATCTCAAATGAAGAAATGAAGAGAATTCACTCATCAACTGTTCTATCCACTTTGCCAAGTACAGAGCTCTTAGTGGGAAAAAAAAAAAAAATCTTACTAAATGAAAGAAAAGTTTAGCTATCAAACCCAAATTCACTGCAACAGAAAAATGCAAGAACTTGCAGGAGACAGAGCTAACCTGAAGCTTAGGAGATCCAGTCACAACTTCACTGCAGGTACTTGAACTTCTTGAGATACGTAAGCATTTTCAAGGACAAGTTGTGACTATTTTAAATCAGACACCTGTATTTGAGACCATCCTGCAGTATACACAAAAACAAAACTCACCTACTTACAACAAGCGATGGATGTAACTGCTCTTGACTGAACCAAGAGAACCTCAGTGCCTTGATTAGAACATGATCTAATCTTACACCAGATTTGCATGGCCTTAACTGTAAGAATACTGATCATCCCAATGTGGTCAAAGCTCTTCACAGAAAAGGTCCTGTGATAACAGCAGAGATGGAAATTGCTCTGCTGAACAGTAGGGGAAGACAGCAACTCAGTTGGGCTGGAAAAGACTGATTAGACCCCAGAATGTGTATCTAGATGCCAACTGGATCTTCTAACACAGTCTGATCATAGGCACACTGGGCAAAACCATCAGGAGAATTGAGTGATACGAGTCCAGCAATGCACTTGACAATGCTCACATCAAAGACAAAAAGAGAAACAAAGCACTGCAAACTAATAGACCAAACAACAACAACAACAAAAAAAAAAAAAGAAAAAACCAGCAAAACCAACCAACCAAAAAAACAAACAAAAAGTCACAATTGAACACAAAACCCCTTGATGATGGCTGAGCAAGGATCACACAACTATTTTCTAAGCAAAGAAACAACATAGCAGGAATGAAGAATTTCCACTCTCCTGGGCAAATCCTACTCTGCACACTTTAGAGGGAGAATGTACCTATGCATACAGGAGTAGAAATTTCCTTTCAAGTGGAAGTATGTCTGCAGCAACAGCAGTAGTGTGCATATGAGAATATGTACATACGAATGACCTCAATAGAGGACAACAAAAAATAAGAAAACTTCAGAATTAAAACTAAAGTTCCACAGAATTGCCCTCAAACAGAAAAGGTTCAAATGCTTGTGTTCCCCCCCTCCCTGCCAAAAGGTACCATAAGACAAACACTGAAGTACAAAGTTATGCTTCATTTGCTTCTGCATTTCTCAAGTAACATATTTTACTTCTCTGATTTTATTGACATTACTAAGGAATAACAAAATAGCATGTCTGGCTATATAAAAAGCTGGCAGCTCTTATCTTCAAAGTTAGTGGTTTACACCTTTTGCAATTTATTATGGAAACAAAACAGTGCCTAGCAGAAGGCAATGGTACGTTATCTAGAAGGAAGCCCATAACATGGAAAGACCACCCATGGAACTTTTAACAGCATACTTGCCCAAAGTAACAAATAGGCACCCGACAAAGGCATCTGACCAACAATTCTCTCTTGTATGTTTTCAGCTTAAATAGTTCTCTGCCCAAGAAGGAACCCTCAGCAACCCTGCCTTTATTTTAAAGCAAAGAAACACCAAGAATTCAACAAAGACTGGAAACACCCACTCGTTATGGTTTCTACTGAACAAAGCAAGGCGTAGTGGTCCTGATGGATTTTGCTACTAACTAGTAATAACCCAGAACCAGGGAACCTGCTCAACAATTTGTGAGGGCGGCATTTAGATTTGAGGTTCTGCATCGTAACTAAGAGAAGACATTCCCCTTGTCCCTAGATAAATAATCATTCCAAGAGGGTAAACATGTATATTAAGGGGGAGAAAGAAGTTCTGAAGATCAATCCTGGGCATACCAAATCTGGACTTCTCCACTGGTACGTATTTACTCTGTGTTCTGTCTATAGCATGAACGCAACGCATGATCAGGCATATTGTGGTTAAAAACAAGATGTGCAATTACATCTGTAACAGACAAGTGTGAGTGAATATACATACGAGGAATCCGTGTTTGCTGTTTTCTTATTGCTGGTCCAATATTCAACTTCTTATCCTTGTAATTAAGTTTTTTAGCCTAGAATTTTTAAAAATAGTATATTCAGTATTTGTAATTGTTTTTAACATAGATCGAGGCATTTAAAACAAAGAACAACAAACAGAGCCACTACTTCTTATTTAGAATGCATCTTAGTAAAACAAGAAACACACTAGTTCCTTTTTTAACCTGATCTTAGACTTTACATACTTAAAAGCAATCATTACTTATTTCAAGTACTCCTTATTCATCACAGAGCCAGTAACAGATACCTATAATTGTCAGATTTCTGTTTGTTCAACTCTTCTCAGTCACATTTCCACTATTTGAACAAAAAGTAAAACATATTTAGAAATGGACAATTTCAAGTGTAAAGATTAAACTTACTCTTTTCACAACTACAACATCATTTTACTAAAGATGAGAACAAGTCAATAAAAAGAACCAGAGCACAAGGACTGAAGGTGATAAAAAGCTTAAATTTTATGTGAGACATGGTACTGCCTTAAACTTTACTTTCCTTATATCCAAGCTAACAAGATATAAACTAAATAATAAGAATCTGAAAATAGATATTCTAGTAGGATTAAATCATAGCAGAATAGCTAAAAAATAGAGTGCTAAGTACCAACAAGTTATACAGTCTTCTGATTCCTACTCAGTTCTAAATGCTACCCTACTATACCAAGACATTTCCAGTGTCAGGTGTAATTTTTCCAGTAAGGAAATAAAAAATTATTTATTAAAGAAGAATATAGAAATAGTTTGAAATCACATTGAAAAGATGGACAACAGTTACAAATAAAAACCAAAGCATTCTCTTTATTTGAACCCTTCTTAGTGAAACATGTGAGCACTTCATAATAACTTATATATCTGAACATAAGTAGAAGCCAAACTTCTCTTTTAGATTTGGGTCTTCATAAACAAATACTAACTACTGCAAATATACCAACTAAACCAATTTAAAACTAACCAACTCCCCAAAAAACTGTTGTCAGTTTCAGTCCAACTGCATTCCACCACAGACAAGAGGAGATGACTCTTCCCAACACATTTATTTCATTTCTGTGATCCATAAGAATTCAGGCTGCTTTTTCAAATATGACTTTCTCAGTTAAAGGAAATTTCTCATCTGTGTGGATTTCCTCAAAGCATTCTATATGGCACTGCACGAAAAATTACACATGATGCTACAAAAAAAGCACATTAATAGGAGAAGCTGTGATTACTTTAAAGTAAAATAAAAAAAGATGGGAAGAGGTAGCATTAGATGTAGTAGTACAGGACTGAGAAGAGGCCCCTACAGAAATTCCACACAGTCTGTTCTTCAGATGCAATTCAATACTTTTGAGGAATGAAAAATACTAAGAAAAAAATCTGAAGATATTATTGATGACCAAGAAGTAGGATGTTTATAAATGAGAAGAAATTCAATAGCATAAAATACAAAATAATTTACATTACAATAAACCATTAAAACTGGGAAACCATCCACTCAAATAGCCTAAAAAAGGCTTAGATCGTAACTGATCTAAGGATGAACGAGGCTAAGAAATTCTTACAACCTAACTGCAGAATGTCTGAGATGAAACATTTGCTGCAGACAAAGAGGTTTTGGTCTCACACAGTCAGATACCACTAAGACTTGACATGGAACAGCCTTTCAGTTACAACACAGGCAAACATTCTGGACCAAGTTCACAAGGGTAACCTCGGTATTCTATTTCATAGAAATAAAACAAAATCCATGAGGAGAAGGAAAAAAACAAACAAAAACCCCAGCGTTTCTGTCTGCTTACTCCTCTGCTTACACTAGTGATATTTGTTTGGAAATACCCAAGAAAATACCCAAGATTTCTTTTTAAATGTCCCAGTTTGTATTTTGAATTTTAACACGTAAACATTCAACAGAGACTCAGTATTCTGGTATTTTAAACTTGCTTTATATTCGGCAGAAGACATTTTGCAACCCTTGGATACTGTCTTCTGTTTTCTTTTTCCCCCCACCCGTGTCTTCTAATATTTCTGCATATATGAACAGATCCACACCAACTGATTTATCCAATATATGTCAACCAGAATATGGAGCACCTATCTGCAAGTAAGAGCTGAAAGGCTAATAACCACCTAACAGCTAATCCTGTCTCAAGGAAGGCTCTAGAGGGAACATCAAGATGGTAACTTAGATAAGTGGAAAAGCAACCACTGCGTAACATTAAATGAACTTCACTGTTTAAGACTTCTCAGGAATAGATTTGTTAGAGGTGTTACAACAGCTCTGATGAGCAAACGTGTCAGAATAAAATAAAGCAGTTATCTTTTCCAATTCCCCACAAGATCTTAACAATGGATTTTCTGGTAAAGCAAATGAAAGCAACTGTGAAGGATAAAGAGTAATCAGCATGCATCAGAAGAACAGACTGTATGGAGCACATGTAGAGTAAGAAAGTAAATACTATATATCAAAGTGAAGTATTCTAATATCAAGTGACAGCTCACTTCCCTAGATTCAGAATACTTATATATACATCTTGTGTTCATAGAATGGCCCAGGTTGGAGGGGACCTTAAAGATCATTTAGTTCCAATCCCCTGCTATGGGCTGGGTTGCCAGCCACTAGATCAGGCTGCCCAGGGCCCCAACCAACCTGGCCTTGACTGCCTCCAGAGATGGGGCATCCACAGCTCCTCTGGGCGACCTGCTCCAGCACCTCACCACCCTCTTAGTAAAAGAACTCCTAATATCTAACCTAAATGTGTCTTCTTCTAGTTAAAGCCACTCCTCCTTGTCCTATCACTTTCAGACTGTGTAAAAAGTCAGTCCCCCTCCCGCTTAAGCTCCCTTAAAGTACTGGAAGGTCACACTGAGGTCTCCCCAGAGCCATCCCTCCTCCAACCTACGTAAGCCCAGCTCCCTCAGCTTGTCCTCATACGGAGGTATCTTGAATCTCTGTCTCTCTAAATATTTTCTCAGCTACATTGTATGAAGACAGAATGACCAATCTTAACAGATCTACCAAACCATGCAGGCCTGCAGAACAGGGTCAGAAAACCAGAGATACCTTATGGCCGCTGTGAAATAAATTATTTAAAAGGGAATCGTAACAGGGAATATTACTCACCTCTTGTAGTATCTTCTGTGCATCTTCCTGAGTTTCAAAAGTAATGAAACCATACCTAAATAAAAAGAGAGCTAAGTCTCTGAAGATCATTATCACAATCACATATTGCACGTTCATACTTTACATACAGTAATGATATCAGAAGGGAAATTATTGGGGAAAAAAAATCAGTTGTAGAAATAGAGACTGTAGTAACAACTGTAATTTTCATTTGTTAATAATCCTTGTAGTAGTCTACTTTCTAATCTAGTTCAATCTAATTTAGATACATGGTCATACATTATTGTTTCCATGCAATAAATGAGTAGTTCACCTGCACAGCTAAGCAAAACCTGCAGGACTACTGGTGTTGCATGGTGAATGTATGTAGATATTTCTTATTGATAAAAGAAAGAAATTCTGTTCTGGATCTCTCCATTGTTAGGAGTGCCCAAGATGAGATGCACTCCTAACTTTTTTTAAATTATTATTATACAGCCTTTTCAGCATAGCTCCCATTATGCCAGTGAAAACTGTGAACACTCCACATCTCCCTAAGCACTACGCAGTACATTTAATTGAGTTCTCAGACAAAGCAGCAAAACACAGCTATGGTTTACCTGGGAATTATTCTTGCCACTCTTGACACGACTAACAATAAACAACAGTTTTGTGGCAGACTCAAGGATAAAGTACTCTCACATTTCATGACATAATACATCTCCTTCACTGTATATCTCTCAACTGTTGCAACAAATCAAACAGGCTTTTGATAAAGAACTCCTACTACACCACAACACATCAATATTCCCACATAAATCTGTCACTGAACCAAGTACTGTCTGTGCAAACCAAGTGCCTCATCACAATTAAAGTATGTAACACAATATGTACATGGAAGATCACTGTTTTGTCTTATTTTACAGAAAGAACTGCAACTTTCTGAATTGTAACAGTTTTTCTTAATCTTGTAATAGTTTTGAATGCATCATTTCTTAGGTTCACGGCTCACTCTCAAGGCCAGACTTCAGAAAAATACTAAGAAAGCCTGAAAGCTTCCATCATTCCAGACAGCCTACCAAAATTTGCAATACAAAATAGGTTTTCTGAGCATCTCCATGTTCACGTGAGTACAGAGATACTGCTAAACCTACGGGCTCTTGCTAGATTGCCTTCTCTAATCAAATTTGGAAACATTTCCAAAACCAAGGGCACAAGAACAAGAAGGTAATTCCTTCATTTGGGATCTTACCTATACACAGACATCACATTCTACATGCAATTTGGACAATAATTAATCAGACATAGTCAATCTTAATTAGACAAAGAATCTTAAAATGAGTCTCTTAAACCACTTGTCAGCCACAAGCAATAAAGCTTGTGCTTGGATTTGAGTAGAAATCCCAAATATCACTGAAACATTCTTATCCAACACGTTTACTTTCTATATGGAGGTGTGGCAATTTAAGTGTCACATTCACTCTCAGAATTGAGTAAAAAGATCTGATATATATACCACGTATACCTTTGGCTCAATCTGCCATTTGCACTTCTATGTAAGCTAGGGACTGAACTAAGATCAGGAGATTTGGACACCAAATCTCATCTCTACTGACCTTCCTGCTAACAAGAAAACTCAGCAAAGAACTTTACAGGTTCCCACAGATATTCCTTTTCGCCCCAGCCTTCTTTCTACCCTTATGCTGCAGCACAGTTCCCCACTTTACTGACTCCCCTGTCCATGCATCACCCCTTCGGTTTAAACAGTAACTTTACCTTCCAGTTTTAATCTTCCTCCAGATTTTTCTCTCCTCTCATTACTGACATCTTGTCCCAGCCTCCCTTTACCGCAACCATGATTCTTTCTCAGATTTGCCTGTGTTCCCATTTTGAAAATCTCCATGAACTACCCTCTGATCTCGCCCTGCACTCCAGCACAATCCTCCTCATCTCACCTATTCCTCAGGATTCTTTCCCACGCTGACTCACAACAATAAAAAATTATGTATTCTTAATATATAATCCCCAAAAGGGCATTTTAATTCATGTTTTAATTCACATGACAACAATTAAGCACGTTGCAAAGGCATTTACTTAGGTAAATGTTAGAGAACACAAGAAGATTTTTGCATATGTGGAATATCTAAGGCCAATAACACAGTATTAATAATATTCTGAGCAAAGAAAAAATTAATAAAATTCACTACAGTCTGGCAATTTTCTGTTACATTTTCAGTTTCCACAACATGCTTAATCTACTATACCAACCCTTTTGATATTCCAGCTCTGTCATTTACTATCTTCACCTCTCTGACACAGCCATACTGAGCAAAAAACTTCCTCAGGTCATGTTCATTGGTCTAGTAAATTAAATCAAGAGGGGAAAAAAAAGAAAGAAGAAAAGCTGATTTGTATAGTTACTGTCAATGAGTACACTCCATAAGACTTCTAATGGATACACTTTGGATAAAGGTTACCACAAACTATAACCCCATGCTAAAAAACAAATTAATGAGCATAGACGTGTGCCTCAAAGCAAGAGAACAGCATTACTGTTTAATTGTTGCCTTTCCATATTCAGTGGTAACCTGGAAAACCACTAAAACATTCAAATGTTTTTACACAGTAACAGTCCCCTTACAAGTATATGCATTGAAGCCAGATAACACTCTGATTTTTTTTTCAAACTTATCAGAGCACTGTTGACAAATCACTGCAGTGTTCTCAGACTTCAGAGCAGAAAAATATGTAGGCCTTCAAATGTATACATGCATCTCTGCACTTGTGTACATGTATACTTACATATACATACACATGAAGGCATGCATATCATACACACACAGGCACATCATGGGAAAACCCTGCCATAAATTAAGTAAGAAAAGGTGCTTCTAATGGAGACTGCTCTAAATCCACTTGAAGGAAACTTTTCTCTCTAATCAGAGTGCACATATAGAGGACAAGTTCCTAACAAATGCACACTCAAGGAATGTGAGCCCTTTCTCCCTTCTCTGAATTAGCTTTCTTTAATCCTCTGAACATAAATCAAATACGATGTCCTCAATGCCGTATTTCAGAATTTCTTGTCCTGCACTGATCTGTACATTCAGGCTATTTCTGCACTTGTCCACATTCTTTCATTATTTTATGTACACAGGAAGTACTGTTTTACCTTTAAGTGAAAGCCTTCTGCTGATTTAAAAAGTATATATATACAATTTAGCAGAAAATCCCTTTTGCACATTAAGAACTTACCTGAGTTTGAAAAGCAAAAAAAATTTTAAAAGAAAAACTAAAACTCTAATTTGAGTAACATTCATAAATAGAAAGAATACGAAGCTAACACTTTATGAATAACTCTGCCCTCAATACATATTTTACGAAAAGAATGCAATTCACTTGTTGCAATCTTCAAGTCCGGGGAGCACTCATGGTACAAGACTTAGCTCCTCATGTCTCCAAGTGTTCTGGCATTACAACACTATAAAATACAGCCACGCTGTAGAAGTGTGGGGAGCAGTAACAGACAGGAGTGCTCTCAACAGGCAGGAAATAGACTTCACTGGGTGTAGCAACTGAACAGGTCTGTATGATAGGAATGGCATTACAAAAAAGATGTGATGACAGAAGGACCAACACGATAGGAAGGTGTTCTAAATGAAAGAAAGAAGTTTGCTCACCCATATCAGAAGATTCTAGGTTCACAGGAGAAAGTTTCACTAAGGAGGGATCTCCAGAAAGAGAACCTTCCCCCGTGGCAGTCAGAGAGGTGCTTCACCCCTTCCAGTCACACAGCTGAACTGCCTGCACCTATGCTTCCAGGGCTGACCAGGTCCCTTCCCCAGATGCTCAATCAGTGGCTGAAGTGTGACTCAGCTGTTCCCATACAACTGGGTAATTATGTCTTCCCCTTGGAAATCCCCTGCACCAAATCCTGAGCAACTACACACTACTGAAAGGTTAAAGTATTACTAAGTGTCACCACAAACCATCCTCCTGAACAGATCACCGTGCTTTACACCTGAAGAGAAATGTGAAGTTCTGTTTATGTAGGAAAACAATTCCAGCCAAACAAATGATAGCATATGCCTATGGAACTGTTTTATACAAGCTGAAGCATTCTCACATTCTTACACAATGAACAGCAAATAATGGGCAATAAAGATTGATGGTAAGATTTGTCTTTTCCTTAAAACTTACAATTCCTGGGAGAGCATTCGCTTTCTGGGAGAATGTTGCTTGTAAGCTCTGCACCTTATCAGCAGCTATGATGCTTCACAAGAAAAAGAATATGATACACAATAGAATAGCTGAGGATAAAAATACATTAAGCAACACTTGAAGAGTTCTTAAGACTGCCATCAGTGCAGAAAGTTATAATGGACTCCTAACGGATGGCAAGGATGTATACACACAGGACAGTAGGCTTCAAAAGCCAAAGATATAGAAATAGAGTGTTAAAAGATGGTAAAATAAAAAGCCTAAGGTTCACAGTGCAGTTTGCAAATATCTGGACGAACATGGTATCTGTAATTTTACCAGAAACACCCCTAGGACTTGTTTTCCTGCTCCTGACAGGACAAGGCACTTGTGAGACTCCCAAGAAAGCCTAATGTTAAGCCTACACAATGTCAAATAGTAATGGCATCCACCACTAAAAAACAGACCTCTTCAGACTGAATCAAAAAGGTACCCAACCATAACTTCTCTTATTGAATTCTTGGAAGTGCAAAAGCTAAGAACTAAAATCTGTACTGCAAATTGCCCAGAACAGACCTTTTATATTCCTTTTTGCTTTTAAGAAAAAATTACTGCGGTAGGTGAAGAACACACATACTGCAGCTCCATCTTTGTGGGAATGGAAAGAAAAGCACTGAAGGAGCTGAAGCTACCCATGGCTGCTATGTTTGCAACATATATCACCGAGCTTACAATTAAACGTTACACTTAATTAAAATGTTACTAAATGTTACACTTAATTAAAAATCCATACATTCTTACTAAGAAATCTGCTTATTAAAAAAGCTACCTCCTTCGAACGATAAAAAAAAGGCAAAAACCAGCATGTCAAAAGTTCCTAGCTTCTTGCTAAGTGAAGAAGTTTATGCAACTTTGTAGCCCAGTGATGTAAATCAAGGCTTAAACATTATTTTCTGCTGTTCATTCGAAGACTGCAATGAAAGGCACCACCTGAGCAAACGTATCATTAGTCTTACTCTTCTACTGAGCTTTATAGCCTATAAAATACCAGTTAGTAGTAAAATGAGGAAAGAAAATACCTTAAAATCAATTCCTCCTACAAAGATGCGATTTGGAGTAACTGTTCCAAATCTTGGTGCACCGGTTGGGTTATTCAATGGCACTGGTGACATAGCGTTGGGAGACGAAGATAAAGATTCTGTTTGTGTCTCATTTGCAGTCTGTTGATTAGAAAAACAAAACAAAACAAAACCAAAAACCAAACTTTTCAAAGATTGCCTGTATCTCACACAGTACAGGCTGTAAAGAGAAATAGCTCTGAACAGAAAACATATACAAACTTCTGGTGGGTAAATGCTGAAAAATGAGCATGTGTATTTTTATTATAAACGAGCTCAATTTTAAGCAATTCTGTAACACCTTGAACAAGCTACAGTCTGATGTTTCACCTACATTCCAACATCTTTTTGAATTAAACATTCTAGGCCTAGTTTCCAAACGTTTTTTCCCCTTTGGGTTTGCACAGCACTCTCTGTACCAGTGTCTGCAGTGTGTGACTACGGCTCTTTTAGCAGAATCAGCAAACGCTCGTGTTGGTGTTGAACGAACCTATGGCCAGTAACATCAGACCTCCAATGAACCCCACCTTCCAACAAACATCCCCTCTATCCTGCAACATCGAGAGGCAGACATCTGTCCCTCCGGCTATTCGTGGCTGCACACGTCTCCAAAGCAGACACCCTCAGCTGCGTTTGAAGACCCACGGGGGCCGTATTTTAGCGCAAAACTCGGCACCGTACCACAGGGGAAGCGGGCAGATGGCACAGAGCCCCAGCCCCTCCACTGAGGAGAAGGGCCGAGGGGCTGAACCCACTGATAGCGGCTGTCCCCCGCGCGGTAACGGAGCCGCACGCAAGCCGGGTTTCCCGGCACCGTCGGCCTCGGCCTGCCGCGCAGCGCCGCACACAAAATGGCGGCCCACCATAACCGCCAGCGAGGGCCGCTGCGGCGGGGAGGCGCCTCTCAGCTCAGGGCCGCCCCATCTCGCGGCCGACGAAGGGGCTCTCAGCTCCCGGCCCCGCCGCCCGCCCTCTCCCCAGAGCGGCCTCGGAGCTCTCTGGCCTCGTCTCACCGCGCCGTCGGGCTCCATCGGTCCCTCGCCGCTCAGCACGGCACGTTCCCGGCACGTGTCCCGTCCTCGGCTCCGCCTCGGCCCAGCAGACAACCTCCAGAGGGAGAGGAGAGAGGGAAGCCTCGCCGCGGCGCTGAGAAAAGCGCGCGGCCCGGGAGCTTCGGCGCCGCGCGGCGGAACGCCGGCCACAGCTCGAGGCGCGAGGGTCGAACCGCTGCGGCCCCGCCCCGGCGCCCGGCCCGGCCCCGCCCACCGACCGAGCGGCCGCTCCCGCCGCTGTCGTGCCCCTCCGTTCTCCTTTCCGCACGCAAAGTGCCCCCTCGTAACGCCCGTCCCGCCGAGGCCTGCACTCCCGCGGCGATCCCCGCAGCTCCTCCCGGCCCCGCCGGGCCCCGCACCTGTGCCTGTCGCTCAACGCCTCTCCTCGGGCTGCGGCTCCCCCCGCGGCTCGGGTTTCAGGGCACACGCACACCTGGCTCCGACAAGAGGCTGGCGGCGGGCGAGGTGCGCGGAGCCCGGGGCCGGCCTTCCCCCGCCGCTCTCCTTGCGTCGGGGGGCGAGAAGCGGCCGCGCGCCTCACCTGTTTGCCGGCCCAACGGAAGAAAGCAAGGAAGCGCCCCAAAACCGACAGCCCACAGTGTGAGGCTCCGCGCGGGTCACTCACTCGGCCTTTCGTGATGGCGGCAGAAACAGATCAGCCCTTTTCATTGCTGGTGTGGAGAAGTACTGAGCACAGCTCGGACACCGCTGAAGTTCTGAACGAAACTCAATCAGGCACGCTGCCCTGAATGCTGCCATGCAGCACCGGGCCCGCACGGCCCCACCGAGGCGATTTGGGGCCCCGTAGCAGAGGCCTGGCAAACACAATGCCACACATTTCATAGCCGCTTCTCAAACTATCGCAGCTCTTTTCGGCCCTTGGAGGAGCAGGAGACACTTCAATAGCAATATTTCTGGTAGTCCTCCAAAGAGCAGCACCCCTGCCTGTTTGCAGTTACATCTTCTCACGTTGTTTGCAAATGGAAATTGGTGGGCTGCTAAACAGGTTTAGGAAAAAAAGTGATTCAGGTGTCTGCTTCATAACCACTAGAATTGCCAGGCAAAAACGCTTGTTTTGACAATGGCAAGAGCTAAAATGACAACAAACGTGTGCTGGGAGAGACCCTGACCCCCCTCCTCCCCATGAATATGCTGCTTTTTGAAGTGATTAAACATACATAGAATAATCATAGAATGGCAAGGTTGGAAACGACCTGCAAGATCATCTAGAGCAACCATCCTCCCACTACCATTGCTACCACAAACCAAACCATATCTTGTAACTCCTCATCCAGATGCCTCTTGAACACTGCCAGGGACAGCGACTCCACCACCTCCCTGGGCAGCCATTCCAGTTTGCCTGACCACTCTCTGAGAGAAAAAGTTCTTCCTTATGTTTAACCTAAACCTCTCCTGGTACAACTTGCGGCCAACAAAAAAGGTGAAACATTCACAGACTTAATCACGGCTGCTCAATCCCCACATACAGCACCAGGATTTACTGTAGGGTCAATTCATCATTGGTTATTCTCCTGTTTTACTTCTTTTGGATGCTTAAAATAAAATCTTCAAGGAAAGAGTATCGTGATTATCTTCTGTACAACAAAATGTTGTAGTTGCATTCAAATATTCTTGTCTTGCTTAATCTGCTTTATGCTACATGGACCCAACCCCAAACAAGCAGCACTTTCCACATGAATTACATCTTTAAACTCTCACAGAGCAGTGGCCCATGGTGGGACTCTGCACTGGTGCACGGTGCACCCTTCTGGTGTTTCTGCAGCATCTACCAGGGTCTGCAGCATTACTGTTACCACAGGAAGGAAATTAAAAATAATAATAATATTAAAGACTTGCCCCTAATTGTGTTTACGATAAAACAATATAATGCTGAGCTGTTAGCAGCAAGTTTTTTTTTTTTCATTCTCTGAGAAAACTATAAAAGTTTTAGAAGAGCTGATGAGATTTAAAAAAAACCCAAACAAACAGTTGATATTTTATGGCAAAACTGTTGAATTGCATTCCTTCACTTTCTTGAATATTTACCACAGAGTAACAAAGCTTATCCTAGGAACAGCTGTGCTGTCTGTGTATGCTTAAGACCATTCAACTGCTAGCAAAATGATTTCAAGTTCATTCTTCCTGCAGTACAGACAACCGAGTTGTACCAGCTGAGTCACAGTTGTTCCCCAAACTCTCTTGTATGACCTGCAAACATTTTTTTTTCCCTTCTACAAGATTTGCTGGCCTGAAAGAGGGATTAATAACTAGAAGTCATTAGATTCAAGCTACCAGGCAGCTATTCTTACTAATCTTAGCTAATCTCATGCCTGCTTCAACTCTGTTTTTAAAAACTTCTGCTCAATCAGTTACAAAACAGCCTGCACTCACAAGAATGACTGATGTCGTAAATAGCATCTAACCTTCATCATACCTCTCTCATCTGACTTGAATAAATGCTTAATCCATGAAACTTTGTGGTTCACGGAGGACAGGGAATTCTGGCCTGCATGGGCAATGTGAGGGTCACTGTGTTCTCCCAAAGTTGTTTTTTTTTTCCTGCTCCACCACAGAGCTTTGTTAGCCAATCCGCCGTGCTTCCTGTCTCCACATTTCCCGCATACCCAGTGAGAACACACAGTGCTGCCCAAAGGGTACAGGCAGCAGACATACTGCTTACTGCTACCATGTCAGAATAACACATCCAAGCCCGGAGAGTCCAAAAGTTGCATGGGAGTTCTTCCAGGAAAACCGGACAATCTCCCCACTCCTTGAGCACACACCTCAGAAAAAAGGTGACTTCACAGCCTATTTTCAAAAAAAATTTGCAAAATGGCACAAACTAACCATTCAGTGTGGACCTCACACATTTGAGTCGCCTTCTCAAAGGTGAAGACATAAAGCTGAGCTCTCTGTTACTAAAATATGCCAGGAGAGCAGAGGCTGCACACCATCACCCCTGCTGCCCTGCATCCTTGCAGCCCACCCATGTCCACATGCAGTCCTATAGTACCAAGCAGACGCCTGTCCCACTCTGTCCCTGCATGAGAGCTGACCCTCTGCCACACTGGGATGCAGAGGCAAGGCTCTTCCCAGCAGAACAGTGTGGACAGTGGCACTGAATCCCTGTCCAATACCTCAGCCATTCTGCATGCTGCTGGAGGCAATTTCTAAACAGCCACTGGTTTCATAGGATGTGCAGTTAGGCAGATTCATCCTTTCTTGGATTTTCTTGGTCAAAAGGTTACTAAAGAATGCATCATTTGGCTTCATACACGAAGAGCTGTCACAGCTAGCTACCTTTTGTACATACAATGGCTTGGTTTCTCTTCATGGATTTCTACTACAGATACTTCTTGTAAATGGCAGAAAACAAGCATTGTTAAGAAAAAACAAATTCTCTCCCACAGTCTGCAGCTAAAACAGGTGAGATGAATTGCTGCCTAAAAACTACCAGCCTCAGCACTGGCTATAAGAATGGTTTAGCTGCACAGTGAAACCCTTATTGCTGGCAGCCCCACACACACAGAGGAGCTGCTCAGGCATTGACCAGCACCACTGCTTGCAGGAACCCACCCTGGCCTCCCTGCTGGGCTGAGCTGCTGTGACCTTTGCTGCTGCTCCAAGTGGGAGCTGCTGCACACCCCTACAGGGAGTTCCAGGTCAGAGCATCCCACCCACAGCTCAAGTTCTGGGCAGCACTGATCCTCTACAATGGCAAAGCACCGTCTCCAATCCCTCCACTATCTAGGAAAAGGCAGGCATTACGGGTACCTGCAGCTCAGATACAAGGACAAACTGCTGGGTTTTTGCTGGATAAGAGGATCCAGAGATCTCAGCATGTAAAGCTACCCTATAAAAATCTCTCACACCAGGCCTAAGGCTTTTTCCCATGCACATCATTATTAAACACTATTTAGATAATTTTCACATCTAATTGACATAAGTAATGGGAAGAATCAAAACTGGTGCCATTCTGTCTTCAATTAATGCTGTTGTCTGACTCCATGTTAGAGGCTTTCATGTGCCCTTGATTTGCTGCCTGGTAAAAACATTTCTCCTATGAACATTTGGGTTCATTCAATGTTAATTATGACCTTTAAGCATTAAATCCCCTGCTAACAGCCTCCATGCACAAAAAAGACATGACAGACCCTGGTGTCAGTTTTCAAATAACACTTCCCCTCGACATCTAGGACACACAATTCCAACTAAACTACGGATGTGGGCTTATTGCAATCACCTTGCTAGAAGTGCTAGAATCAGTAACAAACAGAAAAATCTCTTTTCCTGTGGAACTGACACACCCCAACACAAGCAGAAGCACTGAAGTCAGTGGAACCATGGCATTATTTCTCTGGCTCTTCTTGTACAACAGATGGGTGAACACCTGAAATAAAATTGACAATGTTTTCAAGGTGCCCGATGTGAGAGGCCAAGGAAGCCACAAGAAGAAAAGCAAGTATCAAATGCAAATATGAAAACCTATGGGGGGGTTATTCATATTCCAGTAAGCAGGTGAACTCTGCTAACAGCTGAAGATAAAACTTCTGTCCCAGCACACAGGTGCCAGGGGGGATGTGAAGATGAGAGTCAGAGCTGCTGCTGTAGCACTTTTCCTGGTCAGCTTTGCTATGCTGCCTCTCAGTCCAGGGAAAAGCCTTCCTTTGCTAACAGTCCTATATGGCATAGGTCTGATACAGCATGGGAGGGAGCAAAACAGCCTGGCATGCAGCATGGTTTTAGTTTGCACATCTCCTGTCACACGGGTACCTGGGACTGTCTGCTGATCCCTCCAAGCCTGCTGTTGCTTCTCAGATCCTAAATTCTGCAGCAGGGTTTCCAGGATCACAGGATCAATGTGTCCTTGCCATAAGGAATATGTGCCAAACCTGAACCAAACAATATTGATCCCATTAAAGAAAAAAATTCACACCCCAAGGTTTTTTGCTGCCTCTGTGCTGTGCCAGCAGTACAGGGGCCCCTCTCACCTCTATCCAGCCTTTCCACTGCAGCTCGTTGCCTCTTGGTCTCTGTGGAACAAGGTGAGATTATTTCGTTCTCCTTTGCAGGAGTGTAGCTGTTCTGCACTGGCTTTGAAAGTACAGCAACACCAGAAAGAAATGGATTTGCCAGTACCAATACATCCTTCAGTACTTTACTCCAGCATCACCAGCACTCTCTAACTTGTTTTTCACTTGGGCAGAGCCTAGCTACAGAACGCAGCAGTGACCAAAGCTTTGGCCCACTTGCTTTGCGTGGTTGGAGGTAGCAGTGCATCCTCTCCCTTGTGCATGGCACACTAATGCTGCAACTGCAAGGCCACAAAACTCCTGCTGCTCTCTGTTGCCAGCATCCTTCTCCGGATGGTGAGATAAAAAGCATCATAAATAACCAGCATCATAAATAATCACAGCAGCTCCTGCTGTCTGAATCATAATTTGTATCTCTTTTCTAATTGTATTACATGTAGCTGGCCCACCATACCCTATCTGAGGAAGCATACAAATAATTCATCTATATTCCTCCACTCTCCTCATGTGTACTGCCTGACAAGCCAGATTGATACTGGTCTTTGTCTACTTCTAATCTCATCTCCATCTTGTATGTCTAGTATCTTATTTCAGCTGCCATCTGCAATTAACGCTTCACATGGCATGTTCAATCTCTTCCCATATTCTGAATTCTTGATTACATTCAATTCAGAGGCCAAGGATGAACTACAGACATTCAGTCAGATTGATTTTGAGGACTAATACTTTTGGGTCAAAAATTATCTTTGTTTTCTTTTCCTTACAAAAAAAGTAGCACCTCGTACATTACTGCAAGCAAAAATTTTTAAGATGCTCTTAATTGTGCATTACATAATTGAAGCATAGCAATTCTGTGAGTCAAATGAGGTGATTTAATGAGGTGTCACTTGACAGTGATTGACACCTAGTCAAGAACTGCACTGAGCAGCAGGCTGGAGCAACAAACCACTAGCATCCAGTGGCAGCAGTGCTACTGTCCTAGCCAACAGGACCCTTCCCAGCCCCAGAGGGCTCCTGCTCCTGGAGGCCTCGGTCCTGTCCCGAGTTTGTCCCACACATTGGTCTGGGACACAGACCTGTGCTACCTTCTGCTGGCAGAAGGCATCCCCACCAGCTGCCTCTTGCTCACTGCCCGAGCAGCCCCCCCATGCTGCAGTGATGGACGGCTCCTCCTGGGGGCTTCAGCCAGTGCTCCCAGCACATGACACATGCCAGCTCACCTCCTCTCCCTGCTTGCATACTCTTCGTCTCAAGCACGATGTTTGCTTCCCAAGCCCAATGTATTCATGTCTGAATAAATTAATGGGTTCCCACTGCACAATTTAACAGAGAAAACACTTCTAACATTACAGATAATTCATACTTGCCTTTACAATCTTTCATTTTTCTTCCAGTTTCCAGTGGATGGCAGTGTGCACCGGCTACAACAAACAACTGCCAAATATAACACTGCTTTGTGCTCATGTGCTGTCTGCTGAGATTTTGATGTCTGCACATTCTCTTGAAATTACTCCATGAAGATTAGATGCAAAAACAATTTATTTTTCATAAACTACTTCAAACAATCAAAGAGAGCAGAAAAAATGCATTCAAAGCATGACCTGTTTGGTCAGGGCATGCTCACACAGTGTTTTCTGTTGCACAGGAACAGCTGCTGGGATAGCTCTTGCATCAATTCTCTGGCCCAGCTGCTCACATATCGGTTACTGAACTCCCATAGTCCTCAACATTAATTTAAAAAGAAAACTTGTTTTTTTTTTCTGTTGTTTTTTTTTTTGTCTTTTTCCCAGAGATCTGTTGTTGAAAGCAAACAGAAGACTACTCAGCCTTTGCCTGTGAATGGAAACCCAAAGGATGGTGCTAGACCATTCTGATACAGAGGGATACGCTGGGATTTTCTTAACTGCCCTGGGAAGTCAGTGGGAACATTGCAGTGCCCGCAGTTTCCTCTACCCAGAGAGCTTCTCTCAATTCCATCCCCACCACCTTCCTTTTCTTCCACGAGATGGCTGTAATGCCACCAAGCATTACAGGTACAGCCACATGCAGGACTTTCTCTTGCATTTGGAAAGTGGAGAATGATTTTTATCAGTGACCCCCAAAACAGCAATAACATAGCACCAGCCTCTTTAAGCCATATTTCATTCCCCCATTTCTGCAGCACTGGGTAATACACCCAGCACATAGGTTTACTAGCCCCAGCTGAGCCACAGCCAGCTGCAGATAAACGTGACACAAAATCAAAATCATCTCCAATAACTGTTCTTGCAGCACTGGTTCTACCCATCACATCCACTTCTCATGTACTCCAGAAGATTTCAAGTATTTCTGGAGTGAATCCTGTGGCCTGAAACCATTAAATCATCCTCTGTTCCCAAATGCCCATTCACTGTGCCCAGGTGTTTTCGTATCTTACAGTCACCTTGCCCCTGTTGTACTCTGCACTTTACAAGAGGTAAGTCTCAGATTTATTGAATGCGTACATCACCTGCTGCTGCAGCAGCATGAGCTGGGACCACCAGTCCTGCAGCAAGCAGAGGAGGTAGGAAGAGATTGCTCCTGCAACCCCGTCACCTTCTTGTTTCATGGAGTTCCTTGAGTTAGTCCCCTGAGTAAGGCTGCTGTCTGCCACTGCTGGACTGGGATGAAGGCCAAGAAGGCTATGACCTAATGTTTTAGTCTGGACAGACAGGCAGGAGAGAGAGACTGTTATAAAGGAAAGCTCTCTCCATGCGTGCAATTACCTGATAACAATCTATTATGGGAGGTTAATCTCAAGTGGAGGAATGTGCAAAGCTCTCATCTTGTTCATGCTGGGAAGTTGTGTTATCCCTTTAAAAACAGAATAAAATCCATGAAAATGATACAGAAAGAAAGCAAGCAGCATGTTGCTTTAACTCATGCTGAGCTCAGGAAAGGGAGGGGAAGAGGTCAGTCCTGCTGGTCAAGCAAGCATGTGAACTTTGGTAAAGAATTACCCTGGATGATATCTAGGTCCACGAACAGCTGGACTAATTCAGCCTCCTCTTCAGGGTCTCACAGTCAGACTCCTTCACGTATACAAAAAGCAAAATGCAAGTGAAACCCCCTGCATCTACTCTTTCCCTCATGGGCCCTGGTGCCAAACATAGACAGAGGTCACACTGCAGCCTTGTTGCAGGAGAGCGGCTGTCAGGGCCTCTCTGAACCACTCACCCTGTGTTTTCTTGGGAAATCTGCAGGAACACCTGTGAGGTGGCAATCTCTGCCACACTCGACCAAAGGTGTGGTTTAGTAAGTGCCTGACACGCCAGTGAGCAGACAGCATGCTCCTGAGTGCTGCAGGATGCAATGCCCTTAGGAGAGAAGAACAAGTTGGGGCTCAGCCCTTGTGGCACGTGCTGGCTTCCCTCTCCTCACCAGTAGGAGAAGACTTGGAAGACACTGGTGGTACAGGACAGCCCAAACACAGTGCGGATCTCTTCCTGAGAGCATCAGCACAGTCAAGAGAGTTTTAGAAATCTATAACCTAATCCATACTTAGGAAGGGAAGAATAATTATTCCTATCTTACAGATGAGAGAATGACACATGCAAAAAAAAAAAAAAAAAAAAAATATCGTAAAGAGCACAAACTTGATGGCAGAGCGACAACAAGAACCAAGGTAAATTCACACCTGTACTCTCTCCAGCAGACACCTTGCATGTCAGTCCACTGAAAGCTCCCTGATTTCTCCTTGCCATCACACTGTAAACAATTGCACATACCTGTATCCTTCCCTACCGTAACTTATACAAAAGAAATTGCTATGATAATATCTGTCCATTAAGGAAGGAAATCAGGGAAATCATACTGACATGGAACAAAGGAAAGGCTGTACCACTCCAGTAAGCATGTCATGAAATCCCTCCCGATGGACCAGACAGTCCTTCATGTGTTTTTGCACGAATGCTGGATATGATCTTTCCACATGTATACCTTCAAGACTGAATTTTTATTACGCTGGCTTCACTTTTGCATCCTCTCCCAGTGACTTTGAAAGGTGCACAGATGAAGGGAAGGTGCCACTGGCCTCTCTCTTCTTGTTGGAGGGAGCACGGCTGCAGCTGCCAATGCCAGGATCAACCTGGCCTCAGCAGCATAGGACTGTCCAGAGTTTTATCCTTGTGTTTAAGCACAAAATGTCACACAGTTATGAGCTTAGTGCAGGACCTGATATGAATGTTAAACATGGCGTGACAGGTACGTGTCCTGCATGCTGTGGGATTTCTCGCTAGCCACCATCTTCTGCTTCAGCAAATAGGCATAGAACAGGTGGTACACCTCTCTGCAACTTCATCACAGAAAGTATGCCCATTTCTCCTATTCTGTAGCAACCTTGACCTTCTGAGAGAAATTACAAAGACCGCTTCCTTCACAACTGATGACATTAGGCCAGTTATTTCCATCCTCCCTAACTAATGCTGAAGGTCAAGTACTGTTTTTCATAAAAACACAACCCACGATGAAATAAAGAAGGTGATCCAGGAGGGTAACATGTGACCATGCACTGGTCACGCCATGATCTGGGATTTACGTCTCACGTGAAACTCAAGACACTCCTCTACAAATCTAACTGAAAGCTAAATACACTCACAGTCTAATAGAGAGATAAACAGAGAATTTAGGACTGCATCTGAGTAAGTACAGCAAGTTTTACTGAAATGGTATTTATAGCATCTGAGTTACAACCTTTGCAATAATACGGTTCCTGCTGGAGCAGGATCTCCTCTCACCAGCAACACACCCACTTCAAGTCTCACTGGTTACCTTCTGTCTTAAATCACTTTAAAAACATGGCTCAAAGTTGTTTCATAGCTTTACTCTCTCAGAAATGTGCAACATGAACATAATAGTGTTATTAAGAAGTCAAAAATAACTTAACACAATAGCTATATAAGATTCTCCAATGGTCAAACTTTAAACAATTACTTTTTGTTAAGTTCAGAAAATTAGCATATTTGTTAATCAAATTAATTTAAAAAGTAGCTTTTCAAAATAAAAGCAATGCTTTAAATAAATATAGTCTTTTTTATAACCATAAAACACTTACTCCTGTTTAGGTAACACAAATACTACACTCAAGCACAGTACTTAAACAATTGAAATGAACGTTGTGAGCATATATGAACTGGACACTGGGAAGGACAAGAATGCATTGCTTTGTGACATTTTCTGTTTTCTTTCTACAGCAACACAAAAAGATGTCCAATTCTCAGCACTACCCTAAACACTTGATACATGCTAGGACACTTGTAACTGCTGCATATGAATGCTGGTACCCCCTTTTTTTGCCAAGCTATTTATCTATACTGCATCCACAGTAGTTCTGCAGCCTTGTTTCAAATGTCTAGCATGGTATGATTCTTGACCACCACAACCTAAGGCCAGATCCTGCCCATACACTGACCTCTCGCACTTCTTCAATAAAGCTCACACTATGTGGGATTTTTAAAACCTTCCTTCCAATACTGGCACCACGGTGTGTTTCAGAAGGACCTGAAGCTCACCTTCAGAGTATTACCAAAGAATATTCACAGCTCTCCTTACAACTACAGCGCTGACTAGCTATGTTCATCACTATACAAGTTAAATATAAATGCCTATCAGAAAAGACTGTAGATGTTCTGCAGATCTACAAGGTAACAATGATGTACTAGAATGAAATAAATCAGCTAGTTCTCATGTTAACATGTGTTATCTGGATGTATCCCAAAGAGCAGTTTGCTAAAATTCAGTGAAATGTACATCTGAAATCTAATCACAATCTACTTAGCAATTCTGACCATTTAATACATTCCCTATTTAAATTGTTCATTAAAAATCATGTTCAGGATCTGCAGCAAACCATTGTTTTTGCCCTCACAAAAACAGTAGTTAATGACATTTGTTGACATATTTAGTCTGTTTAACAAAAGTGTAACAATAATATAATTTTAAGTTCAATGATAGAAGTTGGAGAGTAAAATAAAGCACAAAAGCTGATACAAGTACTCTCTATTTGTTTTGATCTTCAGAAGGAACAGGCCTATTCAAAGACAACAAAGGAATAAATTAGTAAATGACTAATGTGATGCATAAAACGGGTCTACAGGATCTGCATATGCACACATGCGCACTTGCGTACAGACAGCTGGGTTTCATTAGAAATCTTACTGCCGGAGTTCAACTTAGATAAATTAACTGCATTAAAATACTGACATTGTGAGGATTTTAATACTATTAACACCCTGTACAGGGCATTCCTGTGTGAATTTTTAAAAGCTTTAAAAAAATAGTTTAGAGCTATTGAAATCTGTGACAAACGTGACAGCTCTGCCTCCTAGCACAGCCTCCCGTTTTCATCTCCTGTATCCTTCTCCTGTATCGCTTCTAGGCACCGTTTTGACTTTGCATCTGCATGCCCACTTCCAGTTTTGCTCAGTCCGCAGGATAGGCATGCCAGCTGGATCTGTTTCATGTTTTCCAGGGCTTCATTCTTGGCATTCTTCAGGAGGTCTCCTTGGCCCTAAGGATGCACAGATAGAGAGAATCAGGGATCACACACATTGCTCAGAACCAAAAACAGGAGCAATACTCTGTCGCTGGTTCAGTACTGTGGAATGTGAGCCAGGTGCTGTCTCAAAACTCCCTGAACACCAGCCCCAGGGGAAGGAACTCAAGTCTCTTCTGCAGCTCAGTTCACGAAGGAAGGCAGCAGCTGGCACAGTGAGCATGAATGCAACGGGAGCCAAACTTTCTGCCTTTTAGGGCACCCCTTGGGAAGTTGGGCTGACTGACTTATGGAGTTCATTGCTTCCAAGTGCTCATCTCTACAGAGAAATGGATCATCTTCTTCCACAGTCAGTAGCAAGGATCTGCCAGGGATGCGGTAGCAATGATACCCTCTTCTCCTGCCTTTGCTTCATCTTCGCAGGAACACTCACTGCATCAGATCCCAAACAGCAACAACTACATGACCACAGCCAAGGTCCCTTACAAGCTGAGACCCCAGTTACCTGTTTCTCCTTGTACCCAGATTTGCTCTCTAGTTCTTAGGAAGGGCAGGCCAAATTGTGGTTACAAGAATCATGACATTCTCTAGCACCACAGTGAATCTCTTCAAACCACTCTGAGACCTCTGATCAAGCAAGCTGGGAGCAAGGGACCATATGAGTAAAAGCCTGTTTTTGCGTCTTCTCAAAGCATGCAAAAGTGAGGTGACTACAGGCTGTCAATGCAATTTGTAACTATCAAGAAAAACATGTTACTTGAAATTTGTATTGAAGAATTTGTTGTTCAGAAATGCCAAAATGAATGTTTATGTAATACTGATATCTCAAGTACCATGGTGTAACAAGATTCTGGTACTGGAGGATACAAATAAATAAAAGCTAGGAGATGAATCTGGTAATTAAAATTCAGTATCACTAAAAACCTGAGCTGCTCTTCTCCTAACATCACCCCAAGTACAGCTAAAAGTACACCAACTCTATGCAGCTGTTTGTGAGCATATTCAAAAGGAACACCCACACTGACTTAAATGTCACATTCACCTCTCTGCCACCTAACTTGACCTCCTGCAACCAGAGTTGCTCAGTGAGGTCTCACAGGAGGCAACAGATGCAAGAGTTGGGAAAAACTAGAAGGGCAACTAACCACTGAATCTCCTTCAGTTTTCAAAACAAACCACGTGTTGGAGGAAGAACAGCATAACAGCTTCCAGCAATGGGAGCATTTCAGCTTTCCCTTCCTCAATAATGAGAGGAAGAGTTTATCCCACACTGATGACCACATTTCCCTTTTTACCAGTGCCTGGCACTGGGCTTGCACCACCTGAGCCTCTGTTAACAGCGTTCACAAGGATGACACAATGGTTGCTTGCAAGTCTCCCAGCACTGGTAAACACCACGTGGGAAACAACATCAGCCAGAGATGGCATCCTGCATCCGAGGAGGTGATTGCCTCATCTCCTGCTGACATGAATTTGTCCCTGCTGAACAATGCAGATCCTTCCCCAGATGCTAGGAATCCAACTTAACACTAGAATAACAAAAAGCACTGGGATGGAGAAAGCAGCTCTGTGCTATTTGGTATGGAGCACTTTTGAAGAGATTTCTAACTCGGCAGCATGACAGTTATGGGTAAGCAGACAAACAGCTTGGAATCCAGTAAGGAGAAAAAAAAAAAAAACAACAAAAAAAAACAGAACAAAATTTATGCAGCACACACTTCATATAAATGCATTCTTGCTCTTAGGATAAAGGTTGAGCTTATTTTTAAAGGTGGAAGGCAAGGATTCAACAGCCCCATATATCTGCCTCTTGTGCTCAGCGTGCCTCGCTCTCCCTGTCTGCAAATGGAAGGGGAAGCAAACCAGTCCTGTGTCGCACATCGCAGCACAGCCAGAGAGCTCCAACAGCAGTGTTACTTATGACACAATAATGTTATGAAAGATGGTAGTAGACTCCCCACTATACAAATGCATTTCTGAATAGCTTGGTTTTAGCACAAAACAAACCCACTTGCAGTGGGACTTGTTACTGGTTCTTTGTTTTGTCACGCATACAGGACCGCAGACACTGAAGGTTGTGCCAATGAGATGACAAATCAGTGCGATGATGCTTTGCAGCCTTAACTTCTCTGAGCAAAAAAAAACCTGGCACTACGTATTCACAGAATAATCTCTTTAGCACAAAAAGCAATTCAATATACCCATCCCTAGAGCACAAAGCACAATTACACCCCAAAATGGGAAGAAACAGCGCAACAGAGGTAAAATAACACTGATGATGATGACAATGGAGGCCCAGCACCCAGAAGCATCTGGCATCCCCTTTGTTGGGGTGTCTGGGAAAAAATTTCTAGGGAAACTACTTGGGATTTGGTACACCCCTGTTTGGAGGATGACACTCTCAGTCCACCCTGAAAGACTCATATCTGAAGTCCCCAGAAGCCAGGGGACTCTTCACAGCCAGTGTGACAGCAGCCATCAGCTCTCCTTTATGCATATTCTGATTTCACATTTAAGTAACCAGGCAATTCAGATTACAGGTTTCATTTGAGGAAATACATGACATGTCTTCTGGTTCCAAGAAGAGAAAAACTCCTCCTTCAAGGTTTTGAAGACATATTTTGCAGTGATCTAAAAACAGAAATGGACTTGCCAAAACAATGCAATTCCATTAATGTGCAGACCAACCAATTTATGTTTTGGTTTCCTTGTGCTTTTTATTTTTAAACAGCTGTTTCACTTGAGCAAGCTGAAGGAAAAATTATTTTGAACGATCTGTCGCAAACCAACCCCCTCTGACAGAACCGTGGTAATTCTAGAGATACTGAAAAAAAAAATAATAATCTGTGGGCATTCTCGGTTTGAAAAGCCATCTGTTTGCTTTGTAAAACTGGCTGTGAACATAATCCACTTAAGGAAAGAGTCAGCAAAATTGTGTCAACACCTTAACAAACTAAATACTGGATTGAAGCTAGAGTAAACTTCAAAAGTATGACTGCACTGAAACATTCTTCATAAGCCAGTCTTTGTGGTAATCTCTGTGCACAAAACAATCCTCTTTGCTCTTACAAACAAAGCATCTCTCTTCCAGAGATCACAGCAGTGCATGTCAGCATCTATCCATCTATCTTCCTTCTGCTGCAGATATCATCAGCCTTCCTGAACACGAATACTTGTGAGAAAGGTTAAACTCAACATTTGGCAGGACATTAAGCTACGCCAAAAGAGATTAATCAAGGGTTACACTTCAAGAAACAATCAAGAGGCCCATTTTAATTTAGAGTTAGGGGACATTAAGAGTAAGGTTTCATACACCTAACTACAACAAGCCATGGAATCTTAGCATAAATTAACATTACTGTAAAAATAATGCAGCTTGTCAAGCAAGCATGAGATTATGAGCTTTTACCTTGACAGGCTAATAGTACTGAGGAAACGGGAATCATCTAGCACAGCTTTAAGTACTGCTCAGTTCCAGTGACAACCTGTGAGAAGACTTCGGATGTGCTTGAGTAGCTCCAGGTAGACATTGGCACAACGGGCACAGCTGAATTTTGTAGATATTATTATTATTTTTATTTAAAATTCTTACAAAATCAAACTCCTGCATAGTTATCAGTAAAGATCACAGGTTCTTATATCCAGTGAAAAGCCAGAGCCTGATGTCAGACAAATGAAAGGAGAAGGTGGTTTAGGAAAGGAGCATCATTTTGTCCTTTTTTTTTTTTTTTTTTTAAAATACACAATGCATGTTATTTCCTTATGAATATAAATACACAGGTAGGTACCTGCACACACATTAATAATTATTATTTCTATTCTCATGCTTTCCAAGAAATTTTGTCCTTTATGTCATGATGCACTGCTAGCTTTGGGCTCTTACCATTACTGGGGCTCAGATGGTCAGAAAGGCAGGACACAAACCTCCCCAGGCTGCAGCTGGACACACACCAACCCTGGGGCTAACGGAGGACCCTGGGGGTCATGGCGCAGTCCAGTGAGACACAAGCACCTTGCTTTGCCACAACCTAAGCAGAAAACCCTTGGTTGTGTTTCCAGGGGGGTGGAATACTGTCTGTGAAGGCCATTTTGTAATCTGCTCCTTGTAAAAGCAGACAGTGCTTATCTCCAGGCAGACACACTCCCTGATGGCATATTATGGGAGTGTTCCTTTTCATTCCACAGGAGCTGAGTACACAAACAATAACAGAGGTCTCTATTCCTCCCCTGCTGTCCATGTCACATCACACTTGTGATATTACTGTTATTTTTTAGCTTTTTCTCAAAGAAACAAGCCCTTTATTATTTAATCACAAAGCAACATCCCCACTCTGGAGTACTTGGCTGAAAAAGCCAGACACAGCAAAATAGAACAACTGCAAAACAACGGCACTGATAATCAACTGAAGGACTTGGAAAGCACAAATGCCGGAGTGCAGTTGGGATATTCATGTACTCTGTATGAAGGCTGCATTTACTGCGAGAGGTGCATTCTTGAAGTGTCATAGTGGGAACTTCATTGTCTTTAATATTAATAAGGAGGCACACAATTAAACAACCATCCATGGCTTTGAAAATGTAATCCTGAAGAGGAAATCATGAATGAAATGATTAGTCTGCTATGTCAAACTTAAAAAGAGCAGATATCTTTGCAAGCCTTCTTCAAAGTCAAATGTGGGGACAGCAGATACGAATTCGACTATGATACAGCCATTTATTTTTGGATCAGGTTTCTAATCCAAAAGACAGGAGGAGGAAGAAGAACTGACAGAACAGTCTCCTGCAGTGAGGGTCATTCATATTCTCGTGGACACAGACAACAGCTGACTCCCCCAACCAGTGACCACACAATCACACTGCCTACTGGCAGACCAGCAGGAGGAAACTGCCCGAGGCAGAAGGCAGATACAGACATCGGGGATGAGACAGAACAGCCACAGCAGTGACACATCTCATCCTTCTTCTTCGCTTGATATTTGCATGAGTCTTAGAAGGGAAACCACACCAGCAGCCTC